GTTAAGGAAGGCAAAGCCTCTGACCAGAGATGGTAGAAAAATAACCTCAGGCATGTTACAAGATAAACATGAGGTGGAGAAACTGGTGCGAAATAAAGATGCAGTGAGATTCATGCAGCCTCTGAGAGGAACCCCAGCCTATTGGGAGAAAACAACAAGAGATCTTTTTGCCATGATCAGACAGTTGGGAACTCCCACGTTCTTTTGCACATTTTCAGCTGCTGAAATGCGCTGGCCTGAAGTGATCGAGGCAATAACAAGGCAGCAAGGTGAACAAGTGAATTTTGAAGGACTCGACTGGTCAGCAAAGTGTGACATCCTGAGAAGCAATCCTGTCACAACAATGCGCATGTTTGACAAGAGAGTTGAAGCATTATTCAGAGATTTACTCTTATCTCCTGCAGAGCCACTTGGCAAAGTCATTGACTACTTTTACAGAGTTGAGTTTCAGCACAGAGGAAGCCCACACATACACTGCCTCCTGTGGGTAGAAGGTGCTCCTGTGTTTGAGGAGGATGATGAGCAAACTGTTCTTGATTTTATAAACAAATACATCACAGCTCAGCTGCCTGATCCACATAAACAACCTGAACTGTACAAAAAAGTAACAGAAGTGCAAAAACACAGTAAGAACCACACAAAGACGTGCTTTAGGAGTTTAAGCTCCGGGTGCCGTTTTGGTTTTCCCAAACCACCCTGCAATGAGACAATGATCACAAGACCCAGTGAGGATGATGCACTGGAAGTAGAAACGGCAAAGAACAAGCTCAGACCACTGAACCAGCTGCTGAATGAACCTGAAACTGCTTCCATGAGTTTAGAGCAGCTCTTGGAAAGATGCAAGTTGACACATGCAGAATATGAGAGATACCTGAATAAAATGAACATGAGGAGTACGATCATACTAAAGCGTGATCCAAAAGACTCTTGGATAAACGGCTATAATCCACATCTGCTTGAAGCCTGGAACAGTAATATCGACATAAGCTTTGTTTTAGATGCTTTCGGCGCTGCAAATTATTTAATGAAATATATATCAAAAAAAGAGGGCGGGCTATCTGAGTACCTGAAAACTGTCATTGAGAACTCCCATAAAGACAGTGTAAATGAGTGCGATGAAATGAGAGCCGTCATGCAGGCATATTCAAAGAAGCGAGAGATCAGTGCACAGGAGTGTGTTGCTCGTGCATGTGGTCTTCACATGAAGCAATGCTCACGTGCTGTAATATTCATTCCAACTGATGATAATCCTGTGAAAATGAGTCGTCCCCTGTCAGTTCTGGACAACACAACACCTGAGTCTTCCAATGTTTGGATGACATCTTTGAATGACAAATACAAAGCCAGACCTGAAACACCAGAGTATGAGGAGATGTGCATGGCAGACTTTGCTGCTACTTGCAGGATTGTCTATGGCCAACAGAAAAAAGGTAAAGATGTTTTGCCCCTTCTCAATGAGATGGGGTTTGTGCAAAGGCGCAAAAACAATAAGCCTGCTATCATCAGATTTCACCGCTGCTCACAAGAAAAACATCCAGAGCAATATTACGGAAGACTGCTTAAACTGTACCTTCCTCATCGTTCAGACCACGAACTGAAAACACCATCGTTGCCAACCTATCAGGCTTTCTATGGTGCTGGCTGTGTACAGCTACCAGGTACTGACCATCTTGAGTACGTGCAACACATTGTCAAAAGAAACAGAGAAAAATATGAGAAAAACAGTGAGGAGATCGAGAGCGCTGTTGAGGAATATGAGCAGAACAGAGGTGTGACTGACGAATGGTGTAATCTGGCACCTGAATCAGATCTCGTAAGGTTGCCACTTGTCGAACAAGAAAGAGAGCGAGACAATGAAAATGAACAGGAAGATGTGCCCGACTACAGCCGTCAGGCTGATGCTTCAACAGAAGTCAGAGCCATCAGGGAACCCCCTGCTATTGATCCCACATTGTTACGTCAGATGTTTCAGAATCTGAACAAGAAGCAAGCCTGCATATTTTATGCAGTTAGAGACTGGTGCATTAAAAGAGTCTGTGCTCTAAATCCAGAGCAGTTTTTCTTTTATATTAATGGTGGTGCTGGAACAGGAAAATCACATCTTATCAAATGCATCTACTCAGAAGCATCTAAGATACTGAGCAAAGTGCCCAGATATGCAGACGACGTTGACATATCAAAACCCACCGTCCTGTTAACTGCTTTCACTGGGACTGCAGCTTTTAACATTTCTGGAACAACACTGCATTCTCTTCTCAAGCTGCCTAGAAGCTTAAAACCTCCCATTCAGGGACTTGGCAATCAGCTGGATGAAGTCAGATCAGAACTTTTGAATGCTGAAATAATCGTCATTGACGAAGTGTCTATGGTGTCAAGACATCTGTTTGCATATGTAGATGCAAGACTCAAACAGATCAAAGGGACTCGGAGACCCTTTGGAGGCATGTCAGTCATTGCTGTCGGAGACTTCTATCAGCTACCCCCAGTGCGACAGTCTAAACCTCTCTGTGTGCACGACCCGTCTGAGATCGACCTGTGGCGGGAGCATTTTCAGATGATCACTCTGACTGAGATTATGCGTCAGAAAGATGATGTTGTCTTTGCTGAGATGCTGAACAGAATTCGTGTAAAAGGAAAGTTGGATGAGCTTTGCGAAGCAGATAGAAATTTGTTGTTACAGGCCATAACTGAACCAGCCCATTGTCCGACTGATGCATTGCACATTTTTGCAACTAATAAAGAAGTGGATGCACACAACTCTTCAACACTGGCTCTGCTCCACACTCATATCATTGACATCCATGCAGATGATTATAGAAAAGATCCTAGAACTGGCAGAATGGCACTTCAAGACAGACCATTGAAAGGAGGTAAAAACGAGTTACCAGACACACTGAAAGTTGCAGAAGGAGCTCGTGTCATGCTCACCAGAAACATTGACATACAAAATGGTTTGGTTAATGGAGCTTTTGGAATACTACTTAGAGTAGTTTACTCTGAAAATGACCAACACATCATCAAGCTTGGACTTAAAATGGATAATGAGACATCTGGAAAGAATAACCGCACACCAGCAGACGATATGGTGTACATTGAGAGAGCAGAGGAGAATCTGAAGCAGAAAGGAGTGGTACGAAGACAGTTCCCAGTGAAGCTGGCCTTTGCATGTACAATACATAAGGTACAGGGTATGACAACTACATCAGCTGTTGTCTCTCTTAAGAGCATTTTTGAGCCCGGCATGGCCTACGTAGCTGTCAGTAGAGTGACGTCTCTCAGTGGACTGTATCTTCTTGATATGGAGGAGAAAAAAATATTCACCAACCCAGAAATCACTGCAGCGCTTGAGAACATGAGACAAGCCAACCTTGATGACATGATGCCTCTTCTACACGTGAGGCAAACACTGAGCAGGTCAGAGGTTTTCACCATTGTTCATCATAATACAGAGGGACTGCCAGCTCACATTAATGACATCAAAAGTCACCATGAATTGTGTCTAGCAGATGTTTTGTGCCTAACAGAAACACACCTGCGGGGCTCTTTTGTCGCAGAGAGTCTCCACTTGGAAAATTACAATTTGTTCAAACGCAACAGACACCTGTCCTACACAAACTTTCCCCAGATGGCAAACAGAAGTGGTGGTGGAGTTGCTGTTTATGTGAAAAGTGACATTCAAGTGCATGAAAAACAGTACATCCATAATGTAACTGACCTTGAATTTCTGGCTTTAAAGGTTGAAGCACCAGTCAGTGCTCTGATTGCAGTTGTATACAGACCTCCAGACTACACTCTGAGGCCATTCCTGAAAAACCTGGTAAGCCTATTAGACTCATTGGAGATCATGGACTGTCATCCCATCATAGTTTGTGGTGATTTTAATGAGAATGTTTTATCCAGTGCAAACAAACTAATCCTGGAGCTGTTTGAGTCTAGGGGATACGCACAGGTCATCACTGCCCCTACCACAGAGAAGAACACACTGCTTGACCTAATTTTCATTTCTCAGTCAGATCGATGTCTCCATTCTGGAGTCATGAAGACATACCATAGTTACCATGACCCAGTATACTGTGTATTGTCCTGTGATGATTCATGATCTAGATCTTTGAATACAGTAAGTAATATCTATATTTTTGAATGACTTAAGAAAGTAGAGCGATATTTAAAAGTTGACGCTCTGCATTGCAGTATAATGTTTGAATTGTTTACATAAAATACAATTACATGAATTAAGTAATGATATCAGTAAAAGATGACAATTTTATTTATCACAGAAAATCTAAAATTCACTAACAGTAACCTATAAATGTCAGAAAAATCAAATATAGCAGTTTAAAATGAATAGTGTAGGCATATCCTCTCTGCAGCCAGGCTTCAACACCCTGCCAGGCTGCCCCAGTCTCACTGTGGCTGGGAGGGAGGGAGGGTGGACCAGAGGATTGCCTACACAACACATAAATGTTCAACAGCTTCTTCATTGTTTCTGAGAGAACAATAATGACTAAAGGTTGCTTTTTAAAAAAACAAACAAACAAACAAACAAACCTAATTACAGCAATAATGACAGTTAAGCCACTTTATGTGTGCCTCTATTTTGAAATAATATTTACAAAAATATTATTATTTTGGTTTGTTATAAACTTTAAACTTTTTCAAAAGTACACAATTATATTTTTGGACAAATTTTTCTATGAAACATAAATTTTTATGAGCTTTTATCATGTTTCTGGCCAGTGCAATCATCAGGGTGGGTCTGGGTTGATAACTGCACATTTCTGGCCAGAAATGTTTCAGCAGTGTTACATATGTAGTGCATATGTTACACTTGCTTTCTGTTACCAGCTGATACCCTACATTTGTATAGACATTTGATGGTGTGAGGTTGGGGAGTTGAGTGGGAGGGGGGGGGGGGGGAGGGTACGGTGGGAGTCGAGGGGGGGGGTTTCCTTTCCTGTTAGGTTTCCTTTGTTTTTCTTTTTTTTTCTTTTTAAGAGAGACACAGTCCTCCTGTGTCTTCTCCAAGCTTCACATGTAAAATCCAACAATGTGAAGCACATAGCAGCCAGAAACTGTAATGCCACAGATCAGAGAAACTTCATCATCACCATCTTCATCGCCATACGATCAGAGCGTGAGACTTCACATCTGGAGCACAGGAGAGATTCTGTGATAAGTCTTCCTTCTAGCTTGTCCCACAAGCAGTCGGTGAGATTTACTAACAACAAAAAGGGTTAATGACATTATTTCCATGAAAACATGTATTCATTCTTTGTGAAGTGTTTAAATTGTGTTTTCACTTGACCTTAGGAGTGTTAGAGTGTATTGTAATGTCTGTACTCAGGTGTTTCCCTCTGTGATTCATCCCCTTCAGAGCTGAGACACTCAGGACTGAACAGACTGCACAGTTTCTGTGACTGAGCCTCCAAAACACCTTCTTTGAAACCACTCATGATAGAAGGGCTTCATATTTGCAGCAGCACTACTACAGGTATTCAGTTTATTACAGGATGTGTTTGTTTCTTAGGACCAGCTCTGAGTGCACACTACCTAATATATACACCTTTCTGTTTATTACAAACCAACTACTCTGGATCATACGGCCAGTTGGCAGGAATGTTGCTGCAGGAAAACATCCCTGGAGATCACCATCATTGTCAGACTGACTGTGCCTCCTCTGTGCAGTGTCAAGATCCTCCCTAAATGAGTGTGTAAGTTAACATTTTCATTATTTTATTCCCTTTGACAAGACAAGTATCACTGATATTTACATTTACAACTACATATTCCTGTTTTCTGCTCTTCTTTTAAAGTCCTCAGCTATCCTGCTTCTGTGCTGCTTGCCACACATCAAACACTGGCCGGATGACAGGGAGGATCCACTCTGAAGTCACTGGACATGATGAGGATCATATGGGACTTCATAGTTTCACAGAAACGTTGTGCTTTGTGATTACAGGTTTTAAATGGACATAATGACTGCCTCTCTCTGATCAACAGGCTAAAGGATTGTTGTCATTGTTAGTGCTCTGTACAATGTATGCTTATTTAGTATTTCATCACAGAGCAAACCTTTTTTTCTTTAACATATTTTTATTTTTTTATTTGTGGGGATAGGTTAATTGATTAATCCAAATTGTCACTAGGTGTGAATGTGCGAGTGAATGTGAGTGTGAATGGTTGTCTGTCCCTGTGTGTTGGCCCTGTGACAGACTGGCGACCTGTCCAGGGTGTACCCTGCCTTTCGCCCTATGACAGCTGGGATAGGCTCCAGCGCCCCCCGCGACCCTGGAAAGGATAAGCGGAAGCGAATGGATGGATGGATGGATATTTTTATTTTGTTCTAATGTTGAATTAACTGTGGGGATTTTTTTTAAGTGGGCACTCGGGATGTCATATGACCAGAAATGTGGTAACTGGAATTCAACAGTATGGAAGAAAAAATCTGCTAAGAACAAAACACACACAAAACCCCCCAAGAAAATTCAAATTCATTCCATGTAATCCAATCTAAAACATTTTAAACTGCTGAACAGCAACACAAACAGCGTTAAAAAACAGTGTTAACAGAATGATTATGATGATTTTGTACCAAAGTTTCAGGTCACATGGCACACCTAGTGTGTAGTGTGGGGTATCAGCTGGTAAGTATAGGTTTTTTTTTTCATATTTGTGTCCTTAGAGTTCAGATAGATAAAGCCTTGTGTATAATAATTAGTCATAATCACAACTCAAAGTCAGGGACTAACTAATTTTGGGACTTTGTGTCTGAGCCCAGGTTAAAACAATGTGTAAAAAAGCATTTAGTGGCATGGCTGAACAATGCTGTATTGATACTTATTTATCCATGTTCACAAAAAGGACTAATGTGTTTATTTGATTATTTGCATGTGTTAAACTGTGTCACCACCTTACGCTTTCATTTGACTTTACTCAAAAATCTCTATACAGTTCTCTTTTACCACTGTGTGGACTCTGTTTACATTAAAACATAAAGAAGAATGAGTAATAAAAAGATGTGTAGACAGATTAAGTAGGACGATAGAAACAGCTGTTTAGCCATGTTCTAAGAAACCAACACAATTTAAAGGTTCAGGATTGTGGTTTTAAAAGTTGAATTTTCATGTATTTCATATCTTGCTTATTATTTTTTATTTAGTTATTTAATTTAGTTATTTTTATTTATTCTACTAGTCCTTTTCAGAAAGAAGCTGTAAAATATGACTTAAGATTTTTATGTTATTTTCTATGACATACAAAATAAATTGATGTATGTAATACTATTAAACATGATATACACATGTGTATATGTCTGAAAAACATTATGCTGTATATTAAAGTTTGTATTTTCTCCAGAATTTTTGTTCAACTCTAAATTTTCTTTTGTCATTACTCATCTTTTTATTATTTACATTTTAAACATGTTTAGCTTTTTTCCAACTTCTTCTGTGTGAACATCAGCTTTCAAAAGTTCTGCACTTTTGTTTTCAGGTGAAAATTTCTGTATTTTCCAGCTCATTCGGAATTTTTAACTTAACATTCAGCAATTAATTCATTTCAGTGCATACATTCAGATTCAAGCATTCACACTGCAGTTTCTTCAGAAAATGCACTTTCTAGTTATTATTATATATTCCGTACGTTTTTTGGCATCTAACTCCTTCAAAACCGTTCAACTTAGAAAAACCATTCAAACACCGTTAGATTCCTATTCTTTTGGACATGACTGCTTCTATTTTTCTCATTTTTAACATTTATATTTTTAATTTTATTCAACTTTATTCAACAAAAATTTATAATGTATTTCAATGGGGAGACCCTTCAAATTCTCATTCAACTTACTCATTTTTAAACTCTTACTACTTCCACATACATTGACATAGAGCCACCATTCAAACTTTAAAACGAAGACAAGACATTCAACTATTCAACTTGTATTTATCTTTTCAATATCTATTATACTTTTTCTTCAGTTCCAGTTTAAGTTTCATGATGTTTTTTCACCCGTTTCAGAGTTTATAATGGGTGTGTATGGGACGGAATGTTGGGGCTAGAGTGAGGCAGCTCAACTGCTAGAGTGAGAGGAGCAAAAAAATTAATCTTAAAATCTTTTTTAAAACTGCTGCTGTGTCCGCAGCGTTTGCTCTACAGGTATGATTTTACCCTCAAAACGTAGCCATCGCTGTCCTCTTTCATCCAATGTGTTTACTATTGTCCTAGGTGTTATGGTTCTTTCGTAAATGTCACCAATGCACAGCCTCCTCCCTCCAACTCTTCCATAGACTCTAATGTTAAAATGGCTCAGAAGGTTCGTTTGAAAATCAGAAGAGCATGGTGTCTTTCCACTGTCACCACGTCCATATAATAAACTCCACAGGCATGAAAACTGAGAATTCAGTAGACTAGACATTGCTGTCACTCACGGTGAAAGAATTTTGTCAATACGACTTTTACTTTTCATTTGGGAACGATTTGTTTCGGCCTGACTTTTCTGTTCATTTTAAGCAGCAAAAGTGAGGCGCATGTCTGTGTACGTGTGTATGGAGCCATTGGGTGCGGTCACTATAGCAACCAGGCTCACACCTGCCTGCTTAACGAGCTCTGCCTGCCACTGTACCAAGATTCATCTTAAGCACTTCTCTTTCAACTGCTGCTGTGTCCACAGTGTTACAGCCATCATTTTACCCTCAAATTGTCGCCATTATTGTTCTCTTTCCAACACCGTATCTTTCAAAGCTCAGGCATTTAAACTTTTTAAACTGTGTGGATCAAAGTGGAGGGATCACATTTGAGTCATTCAGTGATTCAAAGAATATGACCTTTTAATATTCATTCAGATGTTTTCTGACTCTAAATGTTCTTTTCTCATTTCTTAGGTTTTTCTAATTTACAATTGAAACATTTTCAGCTTTTTTCCAACTTCTTCTTCTGTGTAACCTTCAGCTTTTAGCAGTTCAGCACTTTTGTTTTCAGGTTAAATTTGTTTTTTTTTTTTATCTCATTAAAAAAGTTTTAACTCAAAATTCAGCAATTAATTCATTTCAGTGCATACATTCAGATTCAAGCATTCACACTGCAGTTTCTTCAGAAAATGCACTTTCTAGTATCCACTGAAGTTAAAAAGAGATGCTTTGTAACATTAAACTGTAGTGTGCAGTACGTATTTTTTGGACCATAAGGTGCACGGGATTATAAGGCACATTAAGCGAAACAAAGCAGTCAGATAAATCAAACTTTATTAAACTCATTCTTCTTGCTTCCTCCACTTCTGTACCATTGATTCATTAATGTTGAATTCTCTGGCAGCTGCTCTATTCCCATGTTGTTGCAGTATATTAATGACTAACCTCGTATTGTGGATGGATTATCTCAGTTGTTCTCCTGACTGAAGTTTGGTCCGTTTACAGTATCCTGCCATGCGATTGCATTTGTCTCTAACCATGAAGAACCTTCACGTTAACTTTTATAAGTGGAAAAGTGTTAGTGTTCGTCCTCCAGCTTCACTGTTTATGTTATGCTAACATAGCTGTGTCGCTAGCGATCACGTAGCACATCATTATATACCAGCTAGCCCAACTTCAGTAACCCTACAAACGTCACTGCTGTTTAGTTTCCTGTCTTCATTTATGTTGGAAGTGATAGCAGAGCTGTACGTTTGATTTTTTTCAGAAATCTCTCCGTCAGAACATGCTATATCATGCTTAGGTAACTAGCGAAACTAGCGAGCTAACTTCCGCTAGCTTCCTGCTAACTTCTAACTCCGTTAAATGTAATAACTTTTGTTTTCATGGATGCCTGGAAGTTAAACTTTATAGTTACACCTGGTAAAGCAGCAATGCTGATCGTTTTATTAAAGATGAAAGAATTTAGACAGTTTTTAACTCTAAGTGATGCTGCAGTGTTGTTTGACCTGAAGTGTACTGAGTTTAGGACCCAGATTACTCCCAGATTTAAGAGCATCTTAGTCCGACAAATAACGACGGCCGCTTGCATGTTCTGCAAAAAAATGTGTTTTGTTGTGTATCTGACGGACAAACACCAAACCAGTTCCACATCACTGAAGTTGCACCATTTTTACAAACCAATTCTGGTTCATCTGTTTCACTCAACAATCATGTGCGTATGAAAACAAAGGCACTGCGCATGCGCGTTTTACTCATATTCTATCGCGATATTTCATTTTCCTATCGTTGCCTAACATTATACCGGTATTACCGTGAACAGTATAATATGGCCCAGCCCTACTACCCAGCATCACCTGACAAATCCTGAACGTGTCCTCACTCCTCACTCATGAGTGGGGAAGCACAGTGGGCGAAGCGTGGAGACACTGATGACACGCACAACGCTATCACGTGCACTTCTGGGCTACCACACAAACAAAAACTCTGAAAGAGACAGCGTTTAACCCTCACCCCACCTGCACGCTCATCTCCAGGTGAATGCAACTGCCTTTAACCCTGGAGGACACGCCCACAAAAGTAAAAACCAGTGAAGTGCAGACACATAAACCAAGCACCTCAATACAAACCAAATGTACACAAAAATCCCAAATGCTGAGGGAACAGCATTTGGGATCAGTCGGAAAGTTTCCGACTGAGTGAAGCAACAGAAAGCATCTGCATGGCTGCACTAAAGCAAAGGCACTTTGCTGCTTCCTTCTTACACAGAACCGTACGACACGTCATCCCACCATTCATGTAAACAAACCATCACAATGACTGCAGCACACACTGTGTAAAAGTTAGCAAGCATTTTGCATTTAATGGCACAACCTGCCCATATGTCTCAAACCTTCAATCACAGGTCTCGTTAAACCCACAGGAGAACTCTGAACACCGCTGTGATCTTCTGAGGCAGTTGGCTTGGAATTTGAGCTTAAGTTAAGAGTGTGAGCTATATACAAAGGATCAAAGTGAGTTTTAGGTTAGCATAATTCACTTTATTATTTCGGTCCTCAGTTTGCTGAGGAATAATTTGACTTCAGGTACATTAAGTCTTAATACAGTCGGGAGCTGCAGGGGATCAACTCTCCAGCAGGAAGAGAAAATACAGGCGGACAGGATGTGACAGACATTATATTCATGTTATAGTTTCCTTTAAACTTATTACTCCAAGTGTGGTAATGAGATCAGTAACATCCTCCATCGGATGTAAGTCTGATTCTCTGCGCTTCACGTTTCTGAGTCCTTGTAAAGATGCGAGTCATTTTCTGCACACAGCATTGGTGGGAAAACATCCAAAACACACGACAGCTGAAGAGCGACATCATAAAAAATGTTCATCTTTTTTTCTTTTAAAGATTCTGCCAGTTTCCCTGGATTATTATCAATATTGGTATTATTTAAGCATTTATGTGGGCCTTTAAATTGCTTTACAGTGGTTCGTTTTTTTTTTAATCTGGAGAATAGAAAATAGAAAACACTTTCATATCATCGGAAAACAGAAATAAAACCACACAAAAAACCTCTGTTATTGGGCTTTGGTAAAATTTAAATATCAGGGCTACAAAGTCTTTAAAAGATTTTATTCCTTATAATTCAGACTTGGATATAATCCCACTTTCTGTGCTGGATCAACACAGTCAACATCTGGCTCGAGCACCCAAACCAGCTCGTCTTCAAGCTTAAGGTGGCTACAAAGCCTGGACAGACCAGCCAGTGAGGAGATTTCCAGCAACCTGCAGTCTGGCAGGCGACAAAGAAAATATGCTGTGTGACTGAGCCAATGCACCAGACAACACACTGAAAGACAGAACATGTCTTTGTACCAAAACAAACAGGGAAGACAACCAGCAGCTCGCACTGTTTATATGTAAAGCCATTTGTGCTGAAGAGGCAGAAAGCCTGGCTGAGATCCTGAGTATGAGCGAGGCTGACTGCAGAGCTCACAGAGGGGGCTGGTAATGAGGCTGTTTACAGTATTTCAGTCAGAAATGACTGAGTGGCTGGAGCTGAAGACCTGAAATGACAGTTTTTATCTGCCTCAAACAGTTGACCCAGACTGGGACAGAGCTGGCAGGTCTCGTCACACCCTGATGATGTCAGTCACAGATTCAAACTGCCACAATGACATGCAACGTGTACATGTAACGGTCTCAAGTCTTAACCACCTTTAAACCATCAAATCCCAGCAGGGTTCAGTAGCTATGGATGCTGGCACACTGCTGCACTTCCCACAGCGACCAACTGGTGTCACTACTACTGTTTTCTTTCTAATTACGCCTTTAAACGTCAATTAGGCGTCTAATTAGCAACACCTGGTGTATTCAACTGTATTGAAACAGTGAGTCCGCGTGTGCCTTTAAGGGTAAGCTGTCAAAGACTCCACCCAATGACCAGGAGCGTTCAAACATAGAAGAGCCCGCCCATCGTGAAATCAATCGGCCCCTGACCGAACACCCAACAGTGTTCTACACCTGGGTTTGACCCTGGGGAGGTACAGAAGTATATCATTGCTGGTCTACACTGCAGGAGGGAAATGTGGGCTCGCCTGCACCGACAACCTGTGACCTCTCATTCAATGTGCCACGTTTAACCCACGCTGCTCGTTGCTTTACCTTGTGCGAGTGCTTTGGACTCGAAGATCTGCAGCTCCTGTAGTAAACACGTCCTCTCCTTGGGGTGAAGGCGGTAAATAAACTCTTTGGCTCTGGTGGGGGAGTTGAGAGGCTCCAGGGGCTCGTTTCTCCCGTGTGTTCCCATCCAGCAGCTCGGAGCGTGTCGCGCAGTCCCCGCCGCCTTCGGTAACTTACGGAGAGCCGGGCGGAAAGCTCTCTGCAGGCAAATCCTTAACATGGTGCCAAAAAGAGCGACTCCTCCAGTCTTTAAGACACAAAGTACTTCTCTGAAGGGTCCTTCTTCGCTTCGCTTTCACGTCTCTCGGGGAGAAGTTGGCCGTCCGTCGGTCCTTGTCGCTCGCTCGTGTTTAATGGTGATAAAATGTGCTTTTAAGAGCAGTTTCTGTAAAACTTTGGTCAAATTTCAAACGGCCGTACATGTCCTCTTTCCCCGCTGTCTGCCGAGACAGCAGTCTCATGATCTTTTATGACTCGGTGGTCAGGAGTTTGGCACATGAAGTTCAAGCTAAAAGGCGAACAAGACAGCCGCAGTCACACTTCCGCTGGTGGCTTTCAAAATAAAATAATGGCATCCGGTCAAAACTTTTTTTTTTGTCGTAATATTAAAACGTGTGCAGCAGCCAGGAGTGTTTCTAAGTTGGTTATCAGCGAAAATATCGAGGAAGCGGACAGGTGAAGGTAGTCTTTACGGACGAACAATGTCAACTATTCAGGCAGGAGTCTCTGCGGACTGAGATGTTTGCAAACGACCTGGAGAGGATGTTTACAGGATGACAGTAAGACGTGTATGATGCAGGGTTTGGAGGTGGTGGCCACAAGAGGAGGGCCACCTATGATGTCCTAAAGCAGCTGAAAGTAGAAGAATTATTGAACCATGAATAACTTTCATGTTGCTGCTGGAGGTGATCTTACTTAGTTATATGACGACGCGTAGCTTTATCAGAAATAATACAGCGTCATATAACAGATTTCTTAGTATATTGCATATAAAACAATAATAAAACGAAACCAGTTCCTCACCTTCTCACCTCAAAGTCATCTATAAATACTTCGGTTCATCAGCCTGTCAGTTCAGATGGGGCTCGTGTTTGCGTGTGCACATCGGTAGCGTGGCCGAGCGGTCTAAGGCGCTGGATTAAGGCTCCAGTCTCTTCGGGGGCGTGGGTTCGAATCCCACCGCTGCCAAGAATAATTTTTGGGGTGGCTGCTCAGTGAGTGGAAACAAAAACGTTATCCACTGGTGGGAACGTTCGTGGTTCATGTTGTGACCCCACCAACCTGCGTGGTCTCACACTCGTGATTTGTGCAAGAAAAACGTTTTCAGGACATAGTATAACAGCACCACCTTGTGGTCCAATGACTCAACTGCATGTGGGCACACTTGTCTGCACCTAAACTTCTACAGTCCTTCATTTAATGAAGTTATGCTCTATTAGGCAACGTAGGCAAGACTCCGGGTTCTGTCTGGTGTCTAAATCCAATCGAGAATCTGCAGCAAGATCTGAAATCATTATTCGATTTTTCTAAAGCCCTCATCAAACTAAATATAAAAATGGGACAGCAGAATGCTGGAGAAGATGTGGATCAGAAGAGGCACATCATTCCCATATCTTTTGGGACTGCCCTAACTTAAATAATCACTGGCTGGGAATTCATAAAACTCTGTGTGAGGTCTTTAAGATAAAATTTGATATTAATTTTGTAAATTTGTACTTGGGCCTGGTTGCTGGCTCGGTCCGGGGAGGGGACACAAAGCTCTTACAAGAGCTATTAGCAGCCAGCAAAAAATTAATAACCAGGAAGTGTCAAATCCAACTCCACCAACACTTGATTGGTTTAAGGTGGTTTTTGAAATATTTAAAATGGAAAAGTTGACATTCTTTTTAAAAATTCGAGATCACTTTTCGTTACCTGAATGTAAAACAAAAGGACTAAGAAAAAGTCTTTTTTTTTCCGACTAAATAATATCAATGCACTTTATTGTAACAAGTCCTTCTTTCAATAAAATAATAATAATAATAAAAAAATTAGATTATGCTCTACTGTGTTTATGAAGAAGTCACTTAAAGGCGTCATGAGTCCAGATGCAATATCAAAGATGATTTTATTTACATAAATCTCTTTTTTAAAACGAAAGGCAAAATGAACAGCTTCCACCTTTTAAAAAGCTTTCAGAACAATCAAACTAATAATCAAAGTCCTTCATTACTGAAACAAAAAGCACAGCTTTCCAATCAAATTAGACCCAACACTTCCTCATATGTCATATCCTCTTATCGAGCAAGAATTAAATGGATTCCTTGCAGCTTTTTTTTTTTTTTTTTTTTTAAAACAGCACAGAGCACAAGTTTGTAGTCAAAGCCTTCAAAACGTTTGGGCTGTGGAAGTCTACACATCATAATACTCGTGGAGTTGTGCTTGAAAGCCAGTTTTAATACAGTTTCACATTAAAGATCTCTGTAGTCGCTGAGGGAGCCGAGTCAGCCGGGGCTTCGTTTTGGACCAGTAGTTTAAAATTTTTAGATCAGCAGGTATAAACCTCAGGAAAATAAAAACATTTTCTTATTTTAAACAAATTTTTAACAACATGATCGCACACTGCCTTCAGAGGTTGCACGTCTGGATCTTTTCCAGTTTCTTTCTTCCAGCCTTGCAGCCTGTGGCTGCTAACACAGTTTTAGCCTTTAAAAAAGTGCCGTCCTCGCAGCTCGGACACAACAAGGAATCTGTACCAGTGATTAGAAAGAAAATGTGCATTTAGTGAATGATAAAACCACCAGTGTGGGAACAGAAATTCCATCCAACTCTTTTAAATTTTTCCCTTAAGAAATGCAAAACAACTGGCACCACCTATATTTTTATGACCGTTACTGAACATAGCAATCATTTCACCAAATACATTTTTGGACTCTAGCTCTTCAGATGTGCTTTCCACCACACCTTCACACTCTTATTAACCGCTCCCAGGTCTGAAACAAGCTTTTAGCCAACGTCAATACTGATTTCTTAAAAGAATGATGTAGAAAGTAGCGTCAAGGGGAAACGTGTGCACGTGTTTGTTTCATTAAATGTACAATAACGTACACAAATCTAAGCAAGGTCACACAAGAGACCAGTAGTAAGTAATGACAGAGGTATATCAGTGATTACAGTAGGATGTCACCTTTACAAAAAAAAAAAAGAAAAAAAAAGAGACACCTCTCAGTTTTCTCTGGTCAGTGCAGAGCTGATGGGGAACTGCTTCGCTCTCCTGCTTCATTCACAAATCCTCGGTTTGCATTTAAGGACAAAAACAAAAGCTGAGCGAGTTCACCACAAACCTGAGCTGTGATCAGTCTGCAAGTCGGAGATTTTAACACACAGGAAACTAATCAAACATTTAACGTCACCGAGGTGAAAGATGCTAACTTTGATGGGGATCCATCGTCTATTCAAATAAAAACAGCTGAATCAGTCGTGACCGTTTGTGCTCACAGCTTTTCTAAAAACTCAAATCCAGCAGAATGACTAGAGCTCAAAATCTGTTGAAATCGCTCCTCAGTTGTCGTTAATGAACACTCCAGCATCTTTCCCTGCAGCACACCACGAGGGAACATGAACCAAATTATTAAGACACCATCTTATCACATTACAAGTCGGCAGGCACACACACACGACCACGCTCACCTTTACACACACACACACACACACACACACACACACACACACACACACACACACACACACACACATCAGGGCTGCATATTAAGTGCATTTATGTTCAGAGACTCCCACCATAACTTAAATTTCACCAGGCTCCCCACTTAAGCCCCCCCGTGCACCTCTGATCCACTCAGCATGGTTTGTACTTTCAGACCTTTTACAGTTTCTCTATTTTAACCACGAACCTTTAACTAGTGCAGAGAGAAAACTCAATTTTCAAACGGACAACTTTCACACTATGAATCATCAGTGTGGATGAGGTCTCTGAAGCAGCACATCAGATCCAGTAGCCTCATTGTTTTGGACTACTGATCGGTGCTGGTGGTGGATTTGTCCACCAAGGTCAAACCGCCTGTCTATGCAAAGCTCTCCTGTAATGCCGTGAGAGTCCGTGGCACAAACCACCTTCACTAAAACGTCATCATCCACCGCCCACCCTACTAGCCAGATTTGCCTCCCTGTAACTTTTTCCATGACATCAGTCCAACCGTTATCTGAAGGAGGGTTGTGGTAGGAGCCGGCTAAGCAGACATCCTCCTCACCAGAAACACTTTACAATTCTGTTTATAGGTCTGCTGTAATGGGTCCTCGTACCTGGGCGTGTCTGAAAAACCTCTGAAGGGAGGAGTCCAGGAGGCATTCTGACCAGACGCCTGAACCACCTCAGCTGCCTCAGCCTGAGATGAACGAGCAGCGGCTTTACTCTGAGCTTCTTATCTTAAGTGAAGCGCATGCATCTGTATTTAATCTAATTTGTAACTGCAAAAGGTTTTGAGACCCTGTGCCATAACCTGACATGCACCTCCCTAGAAATGCATCAACGCAGCTCACAATGACAGGGACTGGCTGCTCAGCACTGCCATTTCCTCCTATCTGTGACTGCTTCTGCTGCCAACAGAATACATGAATCACACATAAGGCTAAGCCCAGCCAGCCTACCCACTACAAATGTAAGAGAGGCACGTGTATTCTTGACCTTCCTGTTTTGGTCATGGCCACAGGGTGAGGGTTGTAGCATCATGGACTGGTAAATCTAAAAGCCTCCAGCTCAGCTCTCCCCTCCCTTCCTTAAAATGAAATTTAAGTCATGGTTTTGACAAACTGGAGGAAATGCAACAGGCAACCCAGAGTGGTCAGAACAGGAGAGACCAGATCACAATGAAAAACAAAAAACAGACAATCTGAAAGCTTTCTAGAGGTGCACAAAACAAGGATCCCGAAGGAGGAGCTTAGCTAAATTTCAAACCAGATAAGTTTTTATGCTCATAAGTGACAAAGTCTAAAGAAAGAAAATAATGTGCAGCTTTGTGTCTTTTCTCCATTTGGAACAAAACACTTCTACCACCATCTCCAACAAGGCAGAATCTGCTGCTGCAGATAGTCTCAGGTTTATTTGTATTATAAACGTTCTGATTGGCATCAGGGAATAAACTGTGCAAAGTCAGCTGTGCCCACATAGCAAGATTTCTATCAGGATCTCGATACTCCGGAGATACTGTCGAATAAACAGAGTAGTTGGGAGTTTTTTGGTCTGTCATACAGCTTCAACATGCACGCACACACACACACACACACACACACACACACACACACACACACACACACACACACACACACACACACACACACACACACACACACACACACACACACACACACACACACACACACACACACCAAGAGCAGCAGTTACTCTTTCCACGAGCCCTTGTAGAGTAAAACTCAAAAACGTAAAGAAACTAACAAGAAAGACATCCCTGACATTTTTCAAGAGCAAATTAAGATGCTTAAGATGTCTTTTATCATTTCTTAACTTAAATATAATAAAGATAGATGTTTATTTATCTATAGCTCTTCTGTCGTCAGTCCTCTGTGGAGTCTGTGTCATCATTGATATAGTCTTCTTCTATCAGCGCGCTGCCGTTCTGAGTCCCCCACTCGTCTTCGTCATACTCTATGCTGTCATTGTCCTCCAGCAGATCGTGGTCCAGCGCCGCCGCTCCTCCTGCGGCCTGCGCGCCAACTGCCACTCCATTGGCCTGCATCTCTGCAGCCGGCTGTCCTCGCTGGTTATCCCCCGGTGCCGGCGGGCCCGCAGCGGCGGCATCCTGCTGCGGAGCGTAGCCCCCGTTGTTATTGGAAAAGGCGGCTCTGTCTCTACTCTCCTCCTCAACGTAAACTTTCTGGTGGCACATGGGGCACGTGTCCTGGATGTAGAGCCACTTCCTCAGGCACAGTGCATGGAAGTAGTGGTGGCAGGGCGTGAGGCGGGCTGAGGTGGCGAACTCCTGATAACAGATGGCGCACACGTCCTCGATGTTCCTCAGCTGGTCACCGCGCACCTCCGGCAGGGAGTTGATCTTCTTGACGGCAGTGCGGCGGTTGATGAACGTTTTCCAGCCGTTCTTGGCCTGCAGGTAGATGTTAAAGTAAGCGTGCAGGCACATCATGCAGGCGCGGATCTTGCTGCCCGTCTCGAACATCATGGTGTAGGCGCCATTTCCGAACATGATGACGCCGAACAGGAACTCGATGATGTTGCCCGTGGAGCGCACGTAGTAGACGTAGTCATCCAGCTTCTCCCACAGGACATTGGAGAATCCGTCAGCCATGAAGAGGCCGTAGACGGTCAAAGACACAACCACCTGGAGAGCAGGAAGCAGAAACGTGAGCTGAATTTAATCTGCAGAGAGCAAAGCAGACGAGTGAACGGTTTCAGCTCCTGACAGGGAGTGAGCACGCCAACGGGAAGTTTGATAAAATCTCCTTTAAATTCTGCTCTGTGTGTGTGTGTGTGTTCATGCTTCACTGCATGCTCCAAGTTAATTTGAGAAAGAACAAAAATATCCTGCATGCTGTTGATCGCCTGAACTCACAATTCATGTTTTAGTTGAAGTTTGTACATCGTTACTTAAATTGTTGTTCCTTAAAGTTTACTCCCTGAATAATGAACATTCACAAACGTAAAAATGCAACAGCCACACATCCTCTGTGACACGGAGCTGAAGCTGATCTCTGGTGACAGCTGGAATGTTTTTGGACCCTAAGCTTGAAGTAAACAGTCTAAAAATGTGTCGCCGCTCTCCTTCAGAACAGTTTCGATTCGACACCCACAAACTCGCCATTCCTCAGCGGGTCCCCAGGCTAATTTTAGTCAAGTGAGCATGCCCAGAATATCGAATGTAGGAGCCTGGTTCCATGTTCTTATAGTTACATTTGTCTCTAAGCAGTAGAAACATTTTATATGCAAACTCACAACACTTAAGAATTTACAAACAGTATCTGTGGTTCCTTGTCCACCTCTCTGAATCAGTTTTACTGTTGTTGCTGACAAAGCCTGGCCCTCACCTCGGCTCTCCCCTCGCCTGTCGAGGAGTGAGTTTGGGTTTTTAGAGACGTGCTGCAAAGGAAAAGTGGTGCGTTGGATTTAGCACAAAACACAAAGCGAGAGCATAACTGTGAAAAGGAATCCAGACAAGTAATCATTTAATCCTGATTATTTCTTGTTTTCATAAATGCTGGAAGCCATAAGTGTAATTGAACATAAATACTAATTAACTGTAGGCACAGACTATAAACTCAATAGGCAGAATACTATCAGTCTCCACTCAATCCCACGCTGACAAACAGACAACAGAATCCTTACTGACTCCTTTGTAGGGCTAAATCATGCTCTTATATGCACATCAATCAGGTCATTATTGTTACACATTTGATTATTTAAGTCACAAGTTTGATTACTCTTGATCTCTTGACTAACATAACACACAAAAATCTCAGACTGAAAACGGTGGGAGACGTTGGACGTCATCCATTCCAGTCAAAGATAAATTGTTTGCGCTCACCTTGAGGCAGAGCTCAACACAGAAGGCGGTGACGGCAAAGAGCCAGGTGTTGAGGACGTAGTGATGCCAGAGGGCGTAGCTGAGCACCACGGGGAGTACAAAGAGCGCCAGGGACACCAGCAGGACGGGGAAATGCCGCCGAAAAGAGGAGACATGGGAAGCGCTGAGAGACATGAGGACGGGGTCAGTCATGCCATGAATGAAGTGCAGGATGGCGGTCAGCAGAAGGCACATGTTCCGGCTTAGGCGGACCTGTGGATCAAAACCAAGACTAAGTTACGTGTACGAAGTTATTACGTTATAAACACAGGAATACAGGATTACAAAAGGAACAGTGAACTCTGCTACTGTGTGCAAATGTCATTTATAGTATAAATGATTAAACATGTTTTGGTAGTTTAGAGGGCAACATAACAATTCACACAGAGGTTAAAACAGGGGTGGGAAACTCCAGGCCTCAGGGGCCGGTATCCTGCAGGTTTTAGATGCGTCCTTGATCCGACACAGCTGATTCAAATGGTTAAATGACCTCAACATTAGGGCTGGGCCATATTATACCGTTCACGGTAATACCGGTATAATGTTAGGCAACGATAGGAAAATGAAATATCGCGATAGAATATGAGTAAAACGCGCATGCGCAGTGCCTTTGTTTTCATACGCACATGATTGTTGAGTGAAACAGATGAACCAGAATTGGTTTGTAAAAATGGTGCAACTTCAGTGATGTGGAACTGGTTTGGTGTTTGTCCGTCAGATACACAACAAAGCACATTTTTTTGCAGAACATGCAAGCGGCCGTCGTTATTGTCGTATTTGTCGGACTAAGATGCTCTTAAATCTGGGAGTAATCTGGGTCCTAAACTCAGTACACTTCAGGTCAAACAAACACTGCAGCATCACTGAGAGTTAACTGTCTAAATTCTTTCATCTTTAATAAAACGATCAGCATTGCTGCTTTACCAGGTGTAACAATTCAGTTTAACTTCCAGGCATCCATGAAAAAAAATTTTTATTACATTTAACGGAGTTAGAAGTTAGCAGGAAGCTAGCGGAAGTTAGCTCGCTAGTTTCGCTAGTTACCTAAGCATGATATAGCATGTTCTGACTGAGAGATTTCTGAAAAAATTCAAACGTACAGCTCTGCTATCACTTCCAACATAAATGAAGGCAGGAAACTAAACAGCAGTGACGTTTGTAGGGTTACTGAAGTTGGGCTAGCTGGTATATAATGATGTGCTACGTGATCGCTAGCGACACAGCTATGTTAGCATAACATAAACGGTGAAGCTGGAGGATGAACACTAACACTTTTCCACTTATAAAAGTTAACGTTAAGGTTCCTCATGGTTAGAGACAAATGCAATCGCATGGCAGGATACTGTAAACGGACCAAACTTCAGTCAGGAGAACAACTGAGATAATCCATCCACAATACAAGGCTAGTCATTAATATACTGCAACAACATGGGAATAGAACAGCTGCCAGAGAATTCAACATCAATGAATCAATGGTACAGAAGTGGAGGAAGCAAGAAGAATGAGTTTAATAAAGTTTGATTTATCTAACTGCTTTGTTTAGCTCAATGTGCCTTATGGTCCAAAAAATACGTACTGCACACTACAGTTTAATGTTGCAAAGCACCTCTTTTTAACTTCAGTGGATATTATATATGGTTATGCTCAGGATATGTCAGCCCATTTCTACTGGAAATGCCTTTTGGTTAAACTTTCAGCAAGGAATTTGCATTTGCACTGTTACATTTTTATAAAGCTTTAATGTACATAAAAACCAGCTTCTTGTTTAAGTGAAAATTAATGGAAGGTTGTCTTTTTGCGCTAGTAATGTTGTGGAGTATTTTGTCTCGCATCAATTATATCGTCAGTTATATCGTTATCGCAAATTTTCAAATGTATATCGTGATAAATATTTTTGGCCATATCGCCCTGCTCTACTCAACATGTCCTGAAGTTCTCCAGAGGCTTGGTAACGAACAAATCATGTGATTCAGGTATGTTGACCCAGGGTGAGATCTAAAACCTGCAGGACACCGGTCCTCGAGGCCTGGTGTTGCCCACCCCCGGGCTAAAACACCAAAAAAAAATGAGAGAAAAACAGTTTGCCGGCTGCTTTGACGGTGTAAATTGGAAGCACGAATCCGAGACGTACCAGACGTTCCTCAGGTTCCAGGCTGCTGAGGCCAGTCTGAAGAGCCAGGATGAAAAACAGGACAGGAGCCACAAAGCCCAACCGCTTGTCCTCCTCCTCAGTCGAACCTGAAGGTTCAAATTAAGAAAGTGCTCAACTCCAGGAGCATCCAAACAATTACGTGAAGGGCAAATCAGGAAGGCTTTTACACCTGCTACCACTCCAACTAACAATCTCAGTCATACCTATGAAAGCCAGGATGCTGAGACCCAGGTAATGTGCAACAGAGGAGATAACAGCACTCATCCCCAGCACAGTGAGCGTGGAGTCGCAGCCGGAGATGATCAGGTTACTCGTGAGATCCCAGAACACATCCCAGCTCAGCAGGTAACCCTGAAAACGGTGCAGTCACACAGGTACATGCGTCACCTTTACTCATAATCCCGTTTAGCTTCAGTTCAGACTCTGCAGTCTTTTTAGGTGAGACTTTATTATTAACAGCAACACAGAACATGAAGAAGCAGCTTCAGTAGAAATGAGGTTGTTAAAGAATTATGACCTTGTTATTAGGGGTGCAACGATACTCGTATCGATATTGAACCGTTCGATACAGTGCTTTCGGTTCGGTATGTATATGCATCGAACAATACAAAATTTTCAATTTATTTTATCAACTTTTCTTCTGACGATGCTGTCTGTGTCAGTGGATCTGCGCTCGACAGTGCAGCCTAGGTGGAATAGTCGAACGCAGATTCACTGAGCGCAGGGCAAGCTAGTAGGGCTGGGCGATATGGCCTAAAATTCATATCGCGATATAATTTGATGCATGTGCGATCACGATATATTCTTTTCTTCTGTATAACGTATTTTCCACACTATAAGGCACACTTAAAATCCTTTAATTTTCTCAAAAATCGAGAGTGCGCCTTATGTATGAATTCTGGTTGTGCTTACTGACCTCGAACAGTAAGCACTGTTCTGTTAAAAAATCTGTTAAAAAATGTTTTAGTACAACTTTGGTAAGCCGCACTGCTTGATGGATTGTCAGAGCATTACGGCTGCCGTAGTCAGGAGCTTTGCGGGGTAATCTGGGTCCAAAACTCCGTCTCTTCAGCTCCCAAAGTCAAACGAATACTGAGAGTTAAAAACTGTCTAAATTCTTTCATCTTTAATCATCAGCTTTGTTGCTTTACCAGGTGTAACAATTAAGTTTAACATCCATGCATCCATGAAAACAAAATTTATTACATTTAACGGAGTTAGAAGTTAACAGGAAGTTAGCTCGTTAGCTCGCTAGATTCCACCTAAACATGTTGTGCTACGTGATTGCTAGCGAAACAGCTATGTTAGCATAACATTAGGACAGTGAAGCTGGAGGATGAACGCCAACTTTTTTCCACTCATTAAAAGTTAACTTCAGGGATTCTGGTGGTCAGGGACAAATGCAATCGCATAGCAGGATGCTATACACGGGCCAAACATCAGTCAGGGGAACAACTGAGATTATTCATCCACAATACAAGGTTAGTTATTAATATACTGCAACAACATGGGAACAGAGCAGCTGTGATAGAATACAGCATCAATGAATCAATGGTACAGAAGTGGAGGAAGCGCAGTTTTTGGCTTTCCCCTTATTTGAAAAGTGCTTCAACCTTTTGCTATGACTGTCGCCCGGAATAATTTGCAGATGATAATCGTTTTAGCCGCTGCGATGCTTTCGACCAAAACAGGCGCAGCTTGATGACATCATCAACATGCGCTATCGCGATAGAGCGATATAGTGAAAATCTCTATTGTTGGCCAAATTTATATCGTTTCTATCGTAAATCGTTTATATCGCCCACCCCTACAAGCAAGATAGAAGTTAAGCTCTCCTTGCAACATGGCAAATTGAACCTCCCCCACCCTCATTCAGATCTGGCCTTTGGAACTATTTTGATTTTCATGTGAAGCATGACTTTGAAGGTAAGCGCGTCATGGACAAAAGTAAAACAGTATGGATGTGCCACGCAATGCTCAGTTACATGGGGGGGAACTAGTGTGTTAGCGCAGTTAGCTCATGAACGTGTTGACGTCGTCCAGCCCCACGCACGGGGCAATCCGCAGTAGCTCGTTAACAGAGATTTGCCGTGTTGTGGCGTTAACGTCTTTTCAGATTAACGCTGACAGCACGAGTGGGAACACAACGAATATGACTGCACATTTACTCCGACATCATCCTAGTGCAAAGACAAGTGGAAGCAGAAAAAAAAAAAAAGAACAAGCACGCATGCTACAAACTTTACCCGAGTCATTTAGACAGCCGTTAGCACATGATTCTCCTTATGATATGTTTAATATGCTGCTGAGAATATAGCCCAGAAGAAGCGTATAGTAGAGCTTTTATTTTGGAAAGAGCCATTTTTCTGTAATAAACTCTATTTTCCAAAGATGAGTGATTTCTCCATCAGATAGATTAATTTTTTTATTACTTTGTTGTTTCAGCAACATTAAATTTAAAAACTGTACTTTTGAGTTAAAATATATATTTATAATTTTAATAAATGACAAATTAAAAAAGGCATGAACATTGTTTTTGTATCGAAAAAATATTGAACCGTGACACCAACGTATCGAACCGAACCGTGAATTTTGTGTATCGTTGCACCCCTACTTGTTATGTAGTGTGCATCATTTTTAACTGCTCTTCAGACATCAGACACTGTTTATAAATTATTAAAAGAATATTTCACATTGAAATTCGTGCATTAATATATCTGTAAAACACTGCAAAGAGCTAATGTGCCAGCTGGACTTTACTTGGCTACAGAACACAGGAAACCTGTAGAGGTCACCTACATACATTTTAGGCTTTCAGAGATATTTTTAAACACACAGGAACTAATTTTTAGATATAATTATTTATATATAACTAATTTTTAGATATAATTACAGAAATCCAACAGGGGCGCCTGGGGCTGCAAAAGGAAAACTTCTTTCCCCAAACAAATATATGACTTTTGTAAACGTTATGATATGTCAAAGACTCTGAATAAGGTCATTAACCAAATATCAATTCACTGTGGCTAACATCTTGTTAGCTTACCTTGCTTATGAAGTGACCATCATATAGCAAACATGTCCTAGAAGTGAAGTTTTTTTTATCTAAAAGCATTTACCTGTGCATCAGAGCTCCCATCTGCAGCTCCACCTGTGGCATCTCCGCTCTCTCTCCCCACCGCCTGCACCACGTAAACCAGTATCAGTGCCTGGGCTGTTACCCGGGTCAGCCAGAACACTCGAAGCACATCAGGGAACCTGATCCTCTTCCACGTGTCTTCCAGCAGCAGCTGGAGTCCGTAGATCCTGTACATGTGCCGTACGAGCAGGTAGACGTACCGGCATGAATAGTAGAACCATTTGAGCCTCGTGGCGAGGCAAACGGCTGTGCTGAGAGCCAGCACCAGGCCCGAGAACATTGCCACCAGATGCCTGACATCTGCAGGAAGTTCAATCATCAGCCCCCACAGAGGAATCATGATGTCCAGGACCACCAGCGCAGCAAACACCGACTGGAGGTTAAGCAAGAACACATAGCCAATCCCAAAGACGAGCTGGACGGCGGCCATGCCCAGCCACAGCGTCGGCCCGTTTCTAGGCAGCAACCTGAAGCCCAACGCTGCTTTGTAGTAGGCGTTGTAGAAGTCCATGTGGGAGGTGGCGTAGTAGTTTATGAGGACTGCTGCCATGCCAAGGAGGACAGCAAAGAATAGAGTGTAGAACTTAAACAAGGCTTTCTGAGAAAGCAGCAGCACCACAGTGGAGATGAGGACACCTGGAACACACCGGAGAAGCAGTCAGAAAGACAGGAAAGGCAAATATTTCTCACTGCAAACTGAACAAATGTCAGCTAACTGTAGCTTCCAAGTTTGTCTGATTATAGTGAGTATTTAGATCAATCTTTGTGAGAAAACAACAGATGCTGCACATTAAAGAATTTTGGAGCAAAATAATCAGCATAGAGTTGAGTAATCCTGATAAGTCAAAGGATGAACAAGCAACATACATAATATAACATAAATAGAAAAACAAATAAGAACAAAAACAAACAAAGAAATGCCTTTCACAGTCCACGTAATGCTACGTGTGCATTTGATAACACTATGATAAACTGATCGTACATACTGTAGAGGACCTCAACCAACCTGAGCCTTACTGCTTTAATATAAAGTTGTTCAAACATCTGGCACTATGGAGTCTCTGTTCCTGTACTAAACATAAAGAAACACGGGTACAGAAGCAAACCCAACAGCTAATCTCACTTCCTGTCCATCCAAACCCAGAGCTCTTGGCTAACACTTTCAGATGGCCCGAGCTGCTCAAAGGTCTGCAAACTGGAAAACTGAGGTACATAACCTGTTTGTTGACTCAACACAGAGAAGCTTTACTCTGTCACAGTGATGAAAACGAGGAGCTGTTATGAATTACGGGGTGTAGAGGAAACTCAAAGTTAGTCAGGCTACAGACTTATTCTATCAATAAATAAAAAGTGAAACAGATTTTTGTTAGTAGCAGCTCTGGTTATTACACAACACTAGTCCAGAATGTAATTCCCCTGTCCGAAAATATGACAAGTGCCAAGACATACAAATGATGTGCATAAAGTGGGACACCAGGTCAACACACGTCGATATAAAGTCACAGGTACAGAGTTCAGACCAGAGAGCAGCTCTCTGGGTACAGTTAGAGGAGAAGAAGCGAGCTTTGTCAGGAAGAAGGACCTGAATATGACCCATCTGGGTCCAAGGTGCCTCTGAGGCCATCCGTGACACCACAAATCACACTTGTGACAACACACCTTGACGTTAGCCAGCTAGCTAGCTTGCGAGCTGATGGCGCCAAAGCAGAGTAAATTAGGGTCGAGGTGAAGCAGTTAAGCAGCATGTCAGATGGATCTGCCCTGTGTAAATGTTATTGCTGGTCGCTTAATCGGCTTTAGCCTGTCTGACAGGTGACACAGCTCCACACAGCCGACTAATGTCACGGCTAACGCGGCTAGCTCGTTGCTGTTGAGGGAAACTTAAGCGCTCCTTCATGTTAAAAATACTTACCCATGACTCTGACAAACACCTTCCCCATCGCCCCGGCCCAGCCCGAGCCAGGGTCGTAGTAAGAGTTAAAAATGGCGTCGATAATAAAAATACATGGAACTCGCAGAGCCACATCCAGCACCACCAAGGCCTGCTGGCCTATCCGGGCTTGGGTGGACGCCATACGGCTTTAGCGGAGGGCTTTTTACAGTCCTGTTGGGACCCAGCTATCCATGTAACGCTGAAATACGTGACGAGTCACCCGGCAGCAGTCCTTCGTCTTCAGTTTCGCTTTGCCCAACGTTTACTTGGCAGCTGGAAGCCTGCATCTGTCCGCCATGTTCGTCCACCTCAACCTCCTGTTGCTTCTCCGGGTTACAGCCGGCAGCCGGTAAACTTCACGCCCCCATCAGACCCGGCGCTGTCCGCTGTCACAAAACCAGTGAAGGCATCTCTAAATGTCAGTTTGTCAGTGCTGTGAAAGTGCCACTTGACTTCTTTTTTAAAAAAAAAAACCAAAGAAGTTGCTAGGCTGTTACGACGTATCGCGTCAGTGGGCGTGGCAGCTGACGTAACATTTCTACAAACTATAAAATTACACAGCGTCATTTTTTTCTGTGTCCTGTTTGCTACATGTTTTAATGTAGACGTTATTTTGCTTTCAGAGGATGGTTTGCTAGTACAGACATCCATAAATAAAATATAACACAGACTTAATATAATAGACCATTATAGAAGTATATTAAATATATTTCAGTTTACTATATTTAGATTTCAGATTAGTTTTTATACCTTATTGAGATATTTGTTGTGTCTTATCGTATTTGATTTATTGAGCTAAAAACAAACACATTTCAAAGACTTTGGGATTTCCGAACATCTCGAGGATCCACAAAAGTTGTGGGAAAATATTCTATGGACGGAGAAAACTGAAGACAAAAGTTAAAAACTTGAACTTTTTGAAAGGTACAAATACAAATACTGTTACATCTGGCATTAAACTAAGGCAGCTTTTCATAAAAAGAAGGTCATATAAACAGTCAAACACGGTGGCGGTAATGTGATGGTCGGGGGCTGCTTTGCTGCTTCTGGACCTGGATGACTCCCGTAACTGATAGAATCATAAATTCTGTTGTCTTCCAGAAAGTCTTTCAAGCTCAAGAGCGCTCAAGTTATGCAGCAGCACAATGATAGTGACACACCAGCAAGTCCACCCCTGCATGGCTTAAAAAAACAAACCTCTGAGAATGCTTTTGATGGACTTCAGCATGACTCGAAAACAAGCTGACTGAATTAAAATCATTTTGCAAAGAACATTTGGCCAAAGACTCATGGCCAGGTACTGAAAACAGCTGATTTTAGCTCTTGTTGCAAATGTTGGCACAGCCAGTTTATTAGGTTTTGTATAACTTTTTATATTAATAAATTAACATTTGAAAACTGCATTTGCTTGGGTTACTTTTGTATAATATTAAAACTTGTTTGATGATCTGAAGCAAAAGCACTGTAGGGGTACTTGAACAATCACAAACATCAAAGCTTTTTGTGTGGTTTGAATAAACTCATTAACATTTATGTTTTTCTAAACACGACAACTGATGTGTTCCTTATGAAAAAAATATGTTTATTGTGCACTAACAGAGGACTGTAAACACAAATAATATAACAGTATAAGTGGTTTGTCCTGAGGCGCACAAACAGATTCATAAAAGAATATTAATGACACATCGGTGAGTCTGATGATGTCATTTATTATCAGCTTGAGCTGAAGAAGACTTTGACAGTGTTGTTATAGATTGTGTTGCCCAGCTCCAGTGGATCCTCCTCCCTCGCTGCTGCCATCACCTCCAGGACTTGTCTGCAAGAGACAAATAGTGAAATCTTAAAATTAAAGGTCTATTGTGTTTAACAATATTCATGCTTCAGTGCGACGTCTGATTGTATCCATTGATTTATAAAGCGTTTCCCTTTAGTGACTCACATGATATGACAGGGCTCATTCCGGTCCTTCAGGCAGTGTCCTGCCTCCCACTTCTTCTTTGTGGGAAATGTAGTTTTAACACATTTGGACCCGGCATGAGTGTTCTTCACACCACACCACGGGGCGTCTGGAAATGAGCAGGAAGGTGGAAATCCATAAATAACATGAATGTAGCATTTAAAGAACTGTAACATCAGCAAAATATTTCTATAAAGTGAGCACAAACCTATTTAATCTAATATATTCCCTCTTATTGGTGATACAGCTTCAACAAGAATATAAAACCAATGACTCCAGAGCTTTAAGAAAACTTTATATTAAAGGTTCACTGTGTGATCAAACTCAGGCCACATTCTGCCAAAAGCTTTAAAATAAACAGACGGTGTGACTCACCTGTTTCTATCATGAGCCTCTCTGTGGGGATCGAAAATAAGAGTGAAGCAGTAGCTCGACGTCATGTTTCTGCTTCCCTCTGTAGAGTCCTCTGAACATGGGATCTGTCAGATTCACCCCGATGTCTGAACAGCAAGAGGTCAGGATTTATCTACATGTACTGACTCACAGAGTGTTACTGATTGTATCTTTGGAATTAAAGCATCACAGTATTGGTACCAGCATCATGTGAGAGACGCTCTGAGGTCACGTTATACAATAACACTGAACACATTTAGCAGTAATGGATACTTTACTTACAGACAATAGAAACACACTAGAAATACAGTCATATAACAAAACGAGTAATTACAACAGCTTCATTATCGTGCTGATTATTTTCAAAACAGATTATCTGTCTTTAGCCTACAACATAAAAAACTATAATAAACACCTAAATTCTACAACAGTCATGAACTGAGTTTAATAACAATTATTAGTTTTAAAGAATTTATTTCTCTCCATTGGTAATCTTTATAGTGACTCACTGCGAGGTGCCGCATACTTTAAATACTTCTTTGACATACTTTGAAGCAGAGGTAGGTTTTCATTAAGCAATTACTAGATGATTCTTTCAGAAATATTACCAATTAACAATTTTCTGTCAGCTAAGTTACTAAATTGCTTGGACACATCTAAGTACACTGAGAACTGCTCTGCTTTTTAGACATTTCCATTTTGTAGTCGTTAATATTTAAATGAGAGATGAGCTGCTGGGTGTACTGATTTGCATCATTTTATCTCAGTTGATTTTAACTTTGTGTAGCTAGGACTACAACCCTACACAGCTTACAGCTGTCCTTAATGAAGAGCAACCACAGGCTGTATGCAGAGGAGCTTCACGGACAGGTAAAGGGTTTGACTTGGTTAAATCTAATATATGGACCAGCACAGAGCTCATGCTGTGCTATATCTTCTTCATTGCCAGCACAACAGCACCAACTGCTGATCAGTCTACTGTGAGCTGCTATCATGGCAGCTGAACTACTGTAAACCTGAAATAAAGTGCCCGGTATACTGTATTCCTGCACAGCTGTGAGCCTGTCACTCAGTCTGTTCCTGCTGTGTTGTCATTTTCAAGAAGCTAACTTATTAGCACTGATGCTAACAAAACATGCAGGCTGCTCCGTTTTATAACCGTCAGCGGCAGCCAGTGACACTCGCTCTCTTCTACCTTTTCTGGTAGTGTTTAACAGGTGATAAAGCAGGGGCGACTTACCAATGAATTTGTTTTGTGCCATGGTTGAAATCAAAGTCCTCAATGTTCCTCAGCTGGTCACCGCGCACCTCCGGCAGGGAGTTGATCTTCTTGACGGCAGTGCGGCGGTTGATGAACGTTTTCCAGCCGTTCTTGGCCTGCAGGTACATGTTAAAGTAAGCGTGCAGGCACATCGTGCAGGCGCGGATCTTGCTGCCCGCCTCGAACATCATGGTGTAGACGCCATTTCCGAACATGATGACGCCGAACAGGAACTCGATGATGTTGCCCGTGGAGCGCACGTAGTAGACGTAGTCATCCAGCTTCTCCCACAGGACATTGGAGAATCCGTCAGCCATGAAGAGGCCGTAGACGGTCAAAGACACAACCACCTGGAGAGCAGGAAGCAGAAACGTGAGCTGAATTTAATCTGCAGAGAGCAAAGCAGACTAGTGAACGGTTTCAGCTCCTGACAGGGAGTGAGCACGCCAACGGGAAGTTTGACAAACTCTCTGTGGTAGGACTTGACTTAAGCGGCCAAAGAAGTGCAGGAGACTGATGCTGTCCAGTGTAGCAAGTGGTTTATTCACCATTTGTGACCCAAACAATATCTACAAAAAATAAATAAGAAACTCAACTCCATAGTTAACTCCGTTCAAATAAACATAACTGCACACAGCTACACTGACCTTTTTCCCCAAACACCTGAGTTCTTCTGCTTAAATCGTCCACTTAACCAAACAATTTCTCCTCTGGACTATTGCATTCAGTAGGTAAGATGAATATTATTGACCTCTACTGCGATTCTTTACTAGCAACATAAACTCTGGTGTAATCCATACATTACAACAATAAATCTATTTCGCCATAAACACTCTAAAATCAACTTTTTTTAAATTACAAGAATTCTTCCCCTTCCGCACTTGGTCTCTTCCTGTGACCTCAGATGAACCCAGAAGCTATAAAGCAAGAAGTAAAACTAAATTTCCTCCTTTTGTTTCTGGAAGACAGGTAGGTAAGGTGAGTTCTAACTAAACCAATTAACAGTTGAAATAAATAACATGTTAACTTAACAAACTTGTAGGAATTGATTTAAGTGTTAAATTATATAATCTGTAAAAGTGCAAAATACAAACAAACCCAGGATAGTAGATGTTTGCCTACTACAGAATACATATGAAATATGGTTAAATCAAAACAAGAATGTTAACTAAGAATATGGACAAGTGGTACTCTGACCCACACTCTCCTTTAAATTCTGCTCTGTGTGTGTGTGTGTGTGTGTGTGTGTGTGTGTGTGTGTGTGTGTTCATGCTTCACTGCATGCTCCAAGTTAATTTGAGAAAGAACAAAAATATCCTGCATGCTGTTGATCGCCTGAACTCACAATTCATGTTTTAGTTGAAGTTTGTACATCGTTACTTAAATTGTTGTTCCTTAAAGTTTACTCCCTGAATAATGAACATTCACAAACGTAAAAATGCAACAGCCACACATCCTCTGTGACACGGAGCTGAAGCTGACCTCTGGTGACAGCTGGAATGTTTTTGGACCCTAAGCTTGAAGTAAACAGTCTAAAAATGTGTCGCCGCTCTCCTTCAGAACAGTTTCGATTCGACACCCACAAACTCGCCATTCCTCAGCGGGTCCCCAGGCTAATTTTAGTCAAGTGAGCATGCCCAGAATATCGAATGTAGGAGCCTGGTTCCATGTTCTTATAGTTACATTTGTCTCTAAGCAGTAGAAACATTTTATATGCAAACTCACAACACTTAAGAATTTACAAACAGTATCTGTGGTTCCTTGTCCACCTCTCTGAATCAGTTTTACTGTTGTTGCTGACAAAGCCTGGCCCTCACCTCGGCTCTCCCCTCGCCTGTCGAGGAGTGAGTTTGGGTTTTTAGAGACGTGCTGCAAAGGAAAAGTGGTGCGTTGGATTTAGCACAAAACACAAAGCGAGAGCATAACTGTGAAAAGGAATCCAGACAAGTAATCATTTAATCCTGATTATTTCTTGTTTTTGTAGGGCTAAATCATGCTCTTATATGCACATCAATCCGGTCATTATTGTTACACATTTGATTATTTAAGTAACAAGTTTTACTATTCCGGATCTCTTGATCTCTTCTTGACCATAGGATGTTAATTTCATCCATCCATCCATCCATCCATCCATCCGTCCGTCTTCTTCCGCTTATCCGGGGCCGGGTCGCGGGGCAAGCAGCCCAAGCAGAGAAGCCTAGGCCTCCCTCTCCCCAGCCATCTCCTCCAGCTTATCCGGGGGAATACCAAGGCGTTCCCAGGCCAACCGAGAGATATAATCTCTACAGCGTGTCCTGGGTCTTGCCCCGGGGCCTCCTCCCGGTGGGACATGCCCGGATAACCTCACCCAAGAGGCGCCCATGGGGCATCCTTGTCAGATGCCTGAACCACTTCAGCTGGCTCCTTTCGATGTGGAGGAGCAGCGGCTCTACTCTGATCCCCTCTCGAATGGCCGAACTTCTCACCCTATCTCTAAGGGAGAGGCCAGCCACCCTTCGGAGGAAGCTCATTTCCGGCGCTTGTATTCGCGATCTCGTTCCTTCGGTCACTACTCACAGCTCGTGGCCACAGGTGAGGGTAGGGACGTAGATCGACTGGTAAATTGAGAGCTTCGCTTTTACACTCAGCTCTCTCTTCACCACAACAGACCGGTACAGCGTCCGCATCACTCCAGCCGCTGCACCAATCCGTCTGTCGATTTCCCGCTCCCTTCTCCCATCACTCGCGAACAAGACCCCGAAATACTTAAACTCCTCCACTTGGGGCAGGGTCTCGTCCCTGACCCGGAGTGGGCACTCCACCCTTTTCTGGCTGAGGACCATGGCCTCAGATTTGGAGGTGCTGATACTCATTCCCACCGCTTCACACTCGGCTGCGAACCGTTTCAAGGCAAGCTGGAGGCCCTCACCCGATGAAGCCAACAGAACCACATCATCTGCGAAAAGCAGAGATGAGATCCTGAGACCACCGAATTGAAAGCCTTCCGCCACTTGGCTGCGCCTAGAAATTCTGTCCATAAAAATTATGAACAGAATCTGTGACAAAGGGCTGCCCTGGTGGAGCCCATCACCTACCAGGAACAAGTCTGACTTCTTGCCGGCTATGCGGAACAAGCTCTTGCAACGGTCGTATAAGGACTGAATGGCCCGTAGCAATGGGCCAGACACCACATACTCCCAGAGCACCCCCCACAGAACCCCCCGAGGGACACGGGCAAATGCCTTCTCCAAGTCCACAAAACACATATAGACTGGTTGGGCAAACTCCCATGCACCCTCAAGTATCCTCGAGAGGATAAAGAGCTGGTCCAGTGTTCCGCGACCAGGACGAAAACCGCATTGTTCCTCCTGTATCCGAGGTTCGACTAACAGACGAACTCTCCTCTCCAGCACCCTGGCATATACTTTCCCAGGGAGGCTGAGGAGTGTGATTCCCCTGTAGTTGGAATACACCCTCCGGTTCCCATTCTTAAAGATGGGGACCACCATCCCAGCACACCCTCACTGCACGTTTGGGTGCGCCACGTCTGTCCAGCGTCCTCCCTCGCCACCTGATTCAACTCACTACCAGGAGGTGATCAGTTGACAGCTCAGCCCCTCTCTTTATCCGAGTGTCCAAAACTTATGGCCTCAGGTCTGGTGATACGATTACAAAATTGATCATTGACCTTTGGCCTAGAGTGTCCTAGTGCCACGTGCACTTATGGACACTCTTATGTTCGAACATGGTGTTCGTTATGGCCAAACTGTGGTTTGCACAGAAGTCCAATAACAAAACACCGCTCGGGTTCAGATCCGGGAGGCCGTTCCTCCCAATCACGTCCTTCCAGGTCTCACTTCCGTTGCCCACGTGAGCATTGAAGTCTCTCAGTAGGACAACAGAGTCCCTAGGAGGGGCACTCAGGGACTCCAAGAAGGCTGGGTACTCTGAACTGCTGCTCGGTGCATAAGCACAGACGACAGTCAGGACCCGTTCCCTGACCCGAAGGCGAAGGGAACAAACCCTCTTGTCCAATGGGAAACACCCCAACATACCAGCAGCAAGCCAAGGGGATACAAAGATACCCACCCTAGCCTGACGCCTCTCACCAGGGGCAACTCCAGACTGAGGTCTGGAGTTGCCCCAGACTGAGGAGACTGGTTCCAGAGCCCCGGCCATAAGTGAGCCTGACTATATCTAGCCAGTACCTCTCAGCCTCACGCACTGGCTCAGGCTCCTTCCCCACCAGAGAGGTGACATTCCATGTCCCAATTGCCAGTCTTGGTAGCCGGGGATCGGGTCAGCCAGGGCCTCCGCTCCTGGCTGCCGCCCGGCTCGCATCGCACCCGACCCCTAAGGTGCCTTGTGCGGGTGGTGTCCCGTTTTCGGGCTGTGCCCGGCCGGGCCGCAAGGATGTTAATTCATTAATTTTTTTCATTAGTTTGAGTAATGCTGAGTCCAAAAAACCTCACATACGTGAAACTGAATGACTAACATAACACACAAAAATCTCACAGACTGTGAAAACTTTGGGAGACATTGGACGTCATCCATTCCAGTCAAAGATAAATTGTTTGCGCTCACCTTGAGGCAGAGCTCAACACAGAAGGCGGTGACGGCAAAGAGCCAGGTGTTGAGGACGTAGTGATGCCAGAGGGCGTAGCTGAGCACCGCAGGGAGTACAAAGAGCGCCAGGGACACCAGCAGGACGGGGAAATGCCGCCGAAAAGAGGAGACATGGGAAGCGCTGAGAGACATGAGGACGGGGTCAGTCATGCCGTGAATGAAGTGCAGGATGGCGGTCAGCAGAAGGCACATGTACCGGCTTAGGCGGACCTGTGGATCAAAACCAAGACTAAGTTACGTGTACGAAGTTATTACGTTATAACCACAGGAATACAGGATTACAAAAAGAACAGTGAACTCTGCTACTGTGTGCAAATGTCATTTACAGTATAAATCATTAAACATGTTTTGTTAGTTTATAGGGCAACATAACAATTCACACAGAGGTTAAAACAACAGAAAAATGAGAGAAAAACAGTTTGCCGGCTGCTTTGATGGCGTAAACTGGAAGCCCAAATCTGAGACGTACCAGACGTTCCTCAGGTTCCAGGCTGCTGAGGCCAGTCTGAAGAGCCAGGATGAAAAACAGGACAGGAGCCTTGAAGCCCAACCGCTTGTCGTCCTCCTCCTCAGTCGAACCTGAAGGTTCAAATTAAGAAAGTGCTCAACTCCAGGAGCATCCAAACAATTACGTGAAGGGCAAATCAGGAAGGCTTTTACACCTGCTACCACTCCAACTAACAATCTCAGTCATACCTATGAAAGCCAGGATGCTGAGACCCAGGTAATGTGCAACAGAGGAGATAACAGCACTCATCCCCAGCACAGTGAGCGTGGAGTCGCAGCCGGAGATGATCAGGTTACTCGTGAGATCCCAGAACACATCCCAGCTCAGCAGGTAACCCTGAAAACGGTGCAGTCACACAGGTACATGCGTCACCTTTACTCATAATCCCGTTTAGCTTCAGTTCAGACTCTGCAGTCTTTTTAGGTGAGACTTTATTATTAACAGCAACACAGAACATGAAGAAGCAGCTTCAGTAGAAATGAGGTTGTTAAAGAATTATGACCTTGTTATGTAGTGTGCATCATTTTTAACTGCTCTTCAGACATCAGACACTGTTTATAAATTATTAAAAGAATATTTCACATTGAAATTCGTGCATTAATATACCTGTAAAACACTGCAAAGAGCTAATGTGCCAGCTGGACTTTACTTGGCTACAGAACACAGTAAACCTGTAGAGGTCACCTACATACATTTTAGGCTTTCAGAGATATTTTTAAACACACAGGAACTAATTTTTAGATATAATTATTTATATATAACTAATTTTTAGATATAATTACAGAAATCCAACAGGGGCGCCTGGGGCTGCAAAAGGAAAACTTCTTTCCCCAAACAAATATATGACTTTTGTAAACGTTATGATATGTCAAAGACTCTGAATAAGGTCATTAACCAAATATCAATTCACTGTGGCTAACATCTTGTTAGCTTACCTTGCTTATGAAGTGACCATCATATAGCAAACATGTCCTAGAAGTGAAGTTTTTTTTATCTAAAAGCATTTACCTGTGCATCAGAGCTCCCATCTGCAGCTCCACCTGTGGCATCTCCGCTCTCTCTCCCCACCGCCTGCACCACGTAAACCAGTATCAGTGCCTGGGCTGTTACCCGGGTCAGCCAGAACACTCGAAGCACATCAGGGAACCTGATCCTCTTCCACGTGTCTTCCAGCAGCAGCTGGAGTCCGTAGATCCTGTACATGTGCCGTACGAGCAGGTAGACGTACCGGCATGAATAGTAGAACCATTTGAGCCTCGTGGCGAGGCAAACGGCTGTGCTGAGAGCCAGCACCAGGCCCGAGAACATTGCCACCAGATGCCTGACATCTGCAGGAAGTTCAATCATCAGCCCCCACAGAGGAATCATGATGTCCAGGACCACCAGCGCAGCAAACACCGACTGGAGGTTAAGCAAGAACACATAGCCAATCCCAAAGACGAGCTGGACGGCGGCCATGCCCAGCCACAGCGTCGGCCCGTTTCTAGGCAGCAACCTGAAGCCCAACGCTGCTTTGTAGTAGGCGTTGTAGAAGTCCATGTGGGAGGTGGCGTAGTAGTTTATGAGGACTGCTGCCATGCCAAGGAGGACAGCAAAGAATAGAGTGTAGAACTTAAACAAGGCTTTCTGAGAAAGCAGCAGCACCACAGTGGAGATGAGGACACCTGGAACACACCGGAGAAGCAGTCAGAAAGACAGGAAAGGCAAATATTTCTCACTGCAAACTGAACAAATGTCAGCTAACTGTAGCTTCCAAGTTTGTCTGATTATAGTGAGTATTTAGATCAATCTTTGTGAGAAAACAACAGATGCTGCACATTAAAGAATTTGAGCAAAATAATCAGCATAGAGTTGAGTAATCCTGATAAGTCAAAGGATGAACAAGCAACATACATAATATAACATAAATAGAAAAACAAATAAGAACAAAAACAAACAAAGAAATGCCTTTCACAGTCCACGTAATGCTACGTGTGCATTTGATAACACTATGATAAACTGATCGTACATACTGTAGAGGACCTCAACCAACCTGAGCCTTACTGCTTTAATATAAAGTTGTTCAAACATCTGGCACTATGGAGTCTCTGTTCCTGTACTAAACATAAAGAAACACGAGTACAGAAGCAAACCCAACAGCTAATCTCACTTCCTGTCCATCCAAACCCAGAGCTCTTGGCTAACACTTTCAGATGGCCCGAGCTGCTCAAAGGTCTGCAAACTGGAAAACTGAGGTACATAACCTGTTTGTTGACTCAACACAGAGAAGCTTTACTCTGTCACAGTGATGAAAACGAGGAGCTGTTATGAATTACGGGGTGTAGAGGAAACTCAAAGTTAGTCAGGCTACAGACTTATTCTATCAATAAATAAAAAGTGAAACAGATTTTTGTTAGTAGCAGCTCTGGTTATTACACAGCACTAGTCCAGAATGTAATTCCCCTGTCCGAAAATATGACAAGTGCCAAGACATACAAATGATGTGCATAAAGTGGGACACCAGGTCAACACACGTCGATATAAAGTCACAGGTACAGAGTTCAGACCAGAGAGCAGCTCTCTGGGTACAGTTAGAGGAGAAGAAGCGAGCTTTGTCAGGAAGAAGGACCTGAATATGATCCATCTGGGTCCAAGGTGCCTCTGAGGCCATCCGTGACACCACAAATCACACTTGTGACAACACACCTTGACGTTAGCCAGCTAGCTAGCTTGCGAGCTGATGGCGCCAAAGCAGAGTAAATTAGGGTCGAGGTGAAGCAGTTAAGCAGCATGTCAGATGGATCTGCCCTGTGTAAATGTTATTGCTGGTCGCTTAATCGGCTTTAGCCTGTCTGACAGGCATACATGCCAACCCTCCCGATTTTTCTGTGAGAATCCCGAATTTCAGTGCCACTCCCAAAAATCTCTCGGAGCCACCATTCTCCCGAATTTCTCCCAATTTTCCTTCCGGGTACAAAATTGAAAAACCATATCCCAGATTGGCCCAGCCAATTCCAATTTCCAACAATGGCTACTACTACTGGAGCCTCTGTCAGTGCGCCCCAGGGTGCTGTGGTTACAATGTAGCTGCCATCACCAGTGTGTGAATGTGTGTGTGAATGGGTGGATGACTGGATATGTAAAGCGCTTTGGGGTCCTTAGGGACAAGTAAAGCGCTATATAAATACAGGCCATTTACCATTTACCATTTACTTAGTTTAAATATTACTCTTATTAGTCTTTTGTGGTCGCAAAATTAACTTTTAACATATTTTCAGGCGAGAATGTAGCTGAGTAAACTTCAAATATCTGAGCCGGGGAGAACTCCCGGCACATCGTTTTCAAACCCCCGCAGTCTTTTGCCTCTCAGGTTAAACATGACATATAAGTCACTTAAATAACTTAAACATCTTTTTGTTTGGCCTTTTTCAGTGTTTTTTTTTTTCCTGAGTTAATCGGTTTGGCTGACATTAAAGTTATTAGATTCGATTAAATAAAACGTATTAATCCCTCGGGAGGGTTCCTCCGGGGTTTTCACACAGCTGAATAAACATCAAAAAGAAAACTGATTAAATAGAAGTGTGAGATGGTCGAAAATTTATGCCAGCGTTCGGTTATATTTTAGATAGGAAGGAGCAGATGCCAGAGTTTCACTCCACCGAATGAGCTTGTCATGTAATTCTGAAGGCTAGACCGTGTCAGTTCCCAAATAGACAAAAACAAACTAAAAACCAGCGATAAACAACTTAAACATTAAAAAAAAAAAAAAAAAAAAAAAAAAAAAAATCACAAAGAAAGAACAATACAGCATCCACATCTGAAGCAAAGAGTAAAACAGTGAAATGTGGATTATTAAATATTAGGTCTCTCTCCTCCAAGTCTCTGTTAGTACATGACTTAATAATTGATCAACAAATTGATTTACTCTGCCTTACAGAAACCTGGTTGCAGCAGGATGATTATGCTGACGACACCGTCGTGGTGGGCCTGATCTCTGATAACAACGAGACGGCCTACCTGAAGGAGATTAGGAATCTGGAGAACTGGTGCCAGAGGAACAACCTCCTTCTAAACGTCAGTAAGACAAAGGAGCTGATAGTGGACTTCAGCACTAAGCAGGAGAGGAACTACCAGACCCCCGTCATCAACGAGTGCCCAGTGGAGAGAGTGGACAGCTTCAAATACCTCGGAGTTCACATCACGCAGGACCTGTCATGGTCCTGTCACATCAACACCGTGGTGAAAAAGGCCCGACAGCGTCTCTACCACCTCAGACGCTTGAGAGACTTCCAACTGCCCTCCAAGGTGCTCAGGAACTTTTACTCGTGCACCATAGAGAGCATCCTGGCGGGAAACATCTTAACCTGGTTCGGGAACAGCACCATGCAGGACAGACGAGCTCTACAGAGGGTTGTGCGATCAGCTGAGCGCACCATCCGCTCCGAGCTCCCTGACCTGCACTCAATCTACAGCAGGCGGTGCTGGACCAAGGCCAGGAAGATCGTGAAGGACCTCAGCCATCCCAACAACAGACTGTTCTCTCTGCTGAGGTCAGGAAAGCGATTCCGCTCCCTGAAGACCAACACAGAGAGACTGAGGAGGAGCTTCTTCCCGCAGGCGATACGGTCTCTCAATCACACCACCACACAGTACTGACCCACACATATGGTTCTTACACACACACTGGACTTTCTGGACATTGTTTTTGCACAACACTGGTCACTATATTCTTCATTTCCAGTTAATACTTGTACAGCTGCTGTTATTGTGTATATATTTATTTATATTTAGATTTCTTCATACATTCTTATATAGTTCTATATTGTGTATTGTGTATTTTGTTGTACAGTTATTTTATTTTCAACTTTAATTTATATATTTTATCTTATTCTTCCCAGTTAAATTTACCCTTCATTCTAATTTGTGTTGTACAGTTATTTCATTTTTAACCTTAATTTATATTTTATTCCTTCCTAGTTAAATTTACCCTTTTTAATTTTTCATATTTATTTCCTATCTTATTCATAGCCTTTCCTTTTTTTGTTTTCTTTAGGTCACGAGCAGTTGTCCAAGCATTTCACTACATATCGTACTGTGTATGACTGTGTACGTGACAAATAAAATTTGAATTTGAAATGTTAGTTTAAATGAATCAACACCCCCGAGTCATTCTAACTACCAGAAACCTCGAAGCACAGGCCGAGGGGGAGGTGTGGCAGCAATTTTTCACACCAGCCTATTAATCAACCAAAGACCCAGACAGACTTTTAATTCATTTGAAAGCCTGATGCTTAACATCGTCCACCCCAGCTGTAAAACTCAGAAACCAGTCTTACTTGTTATCATCTATCGTCCACCTGGGCCTTACACAGAGTTTCTGTCTGATTTCTCAGACTTTTTATCTGATTTAGTTCTCAGCTCAGATAAAATAATTATTGTGGGTGATTTTAACATCCATGTAGATGCTAAAAATGACAGCCTCAACATGGCATTTAATCTGTTATTAGACTCAATTGGCTTCTCTCAAAATGTAAAAGAACCCACCCACCACTTTAATCACACTCTAGATCTTGTTTTAACATATGGCATAGAAACTGAACATTTAACGGTGTTTCCTGAAAACCCTCTCCTGTCTGATCATTTCCTGATAACATTCACATTTACAATAATTGATTACACAGCAGTGGAGAGTAGACTTTATCACAGTAGATGTCTTTCTGAAAGCGCTGTAACTAAGTTTAAGAATATAATCCACCCACTGTTATCATCTTCAATGCACTGTACCAACATAGAGCAGAGCAGCTATCTGAACGCTACCCCAACAGAGGTCGATTATCTTGTTAATAATTTCACCTCCTCACTACGTACGACTCTGGATACTGTAGCTCCTGTGAAAACTAAGGTCTCTAATCAGAAGTACCTGACTCCGTGGTATAATTCTCAAACACGTACCCTAAAGCAGATGACTCGTAATCTGGAGAGGAAATGGCGTGTTACAAATTTAGAGGATCATCATTTAGTCTGGAGAAATAGTTTGTTACTTTATAAGAAAGCTCTCCGCAAAGCCAGAACATCTTACTATTCATCACTGATTGAAGAAAATAAGAACAACCCCAGGTTTCTCTTCAGCTCTGTAGCCAGGCTGACAAAAAGTCAGAGCTCTGTTGAGCCAACCATCCCTTTAACGTTAACTAGTAATGACTTCATGAACTTCTTCACAAATAAAATTTTAATCATTAGAGAAAAAAAAATTACCAATAATCATCCCACAGATGTAATATTATCTACAGCTACTTTCAGTACCATTGATATTCATTTACTCTTTTTCTCCCATTGATTGATTGAGTTAACTTCAATAATTACTTCCTCCAAACCATCAACGTGTCTTTTAGACCCCATTCCTACAAAACTGCTCAAAGAAGTTCTGCCAATAATTAATGCTTCAATCTCTAATAACCAGCTATGTACCACAGGCCTTTAAATGGCAGTAGTTAAACCTTTACTCAAAAAGCATCTCTAGACCCAGCAGTCTTAGCTAATTATAGGCCAATCTCCAACCTTCCTTTCATATCAAACATTCTTGAAAGAGTAGTTGTCAAACAGCTAACAGATCATCTGCAGAGGAATGGCTTATTTGAAGAGTTTCAGTCAGGTTTCAGAGCTCATCACAGCACAGAAACAGCTTTAGTGAAGGTTACAAATGATCTTCTTATGGTGGGTAACAGGTATCTCCGAAAACGTTAAAGCACTTGTGCAAATATCTGATGTCTTGATGAATCGAGCAGGTATTTAAAGTTTAAAGATATTTTCATGCGAGAATGGTGCTGTGTAAAGTTTATTTTGTAACTCAGAAAGAGTAATATTTCAAACTCCGCCACTCGGTGCTCCTCCGCCACTGCCTCGTTTGAGTTTTGGACGAAATGGATTCTGGGATGTTGCATTTCGTCATTTCGAGCTGATTGGAGACCAGAACAGCCAATCAGATTTTTTTGCATCCAAGTCTGTGATTGGCTGGTTGTGTGGCACAAATATAACGGTGAAGTTGAGCGCGCACGGGCAGAAATGTTAAGCGCGCGAGCAACACATTGCGAGCGAGCGCAAATGCAAAAACTGAGCGAGAGGGGCAGCTGTTGTGTGTGTGGATAATAGCAAACACTGAAATACATTTTTTGCACGCAGAAATGAATTTTGTTCACTCAAATTCAGCTTTTCTTCGCTCAAAATAAATTTCTCCTCAAAATACAACACTTGCACCTGCAAACTTTTCTTTACGTGCGCTCAGAATAGTGGCACAAAAATAACGCCATACTAAAGCTGCTAGCTCGTTGCTGTTGAGGGAAACTTAAGCGCTCCTTCATGTTAAAAATACTTACCCATGACTCTGACAAACACCTTCCCCATCGCCCCGGCCCAGCCCGAGCCAGGGTCGTAGTAAGAGTTAAAAATGGCGTCGATAATAAAAATACATGGAACTCGCAGAGCCACATCCAGCACCACCAAGGCCTGCTGGCCTATCCGGGCTTGGGTGGACGCCATACGGCTTTAGCGGAGGGCTTTTTACAGTCCTGTTGGGACCCAGCTATCCATGTAACGCTGAAATACGTGACGAGTCACCCGGCAGCAGTCCTTCGTCTTCAGTTTCGCTTTGCCCAACGTTTACTTGGCAGCTGGAAGCCTGCATCTGTCCGCCATGTTCGTCCACCTCAACCTCCTGTTGCTTCTCCGGGTTACAGCCGGCAGCCGGTAAACTTCACGCCCCCATCAGACCCGGCGCTGTCCGCTGTCACAAAACCAGTGAAGGCATCTCTAAATGTCAGTTTGTCAGTGCTGTGAAAGTGCCACTTGACTTCTTTTTTAAAAAAAAAAACCAAAGAAGTTGCTAGGCTGTTACGACGTATCGCGTCAGTGGGCGTGGCAGCTGACGTAACATTTCTACAAACTATAAAATTACACAGCGTCATTTTTTTCTGTGTCCTGTTTGCTACATGTTTTAATGTAGACGTTATTTTGCTTTCAGAGGATGGTTTGCTAGTACAGACATCCATAAATAAAATATAACACAGACTTAATATAATAGACCATTATAGAAGTATATTAAATATATTTCAGTTTACTATATTTAGATTTCAGATTAGTTTTTATACCTTATTGAGATATTTGTTGTGTCTTATCGTATTTGATTTATTGAGCTAAAAACAAACACATTTCAAAGACTTTGGGATTTCCGAACATCTCGAGGATCCACAAAAGTTGTGGGAAAATATTCTATGGACGGAGAAAACTGAAGACAAAAGTTAAAAACTTGAACTTTTTGAAAGGTACAAATACAAATACTGTTACATCTGGCATTAAACTAAGGCAGCTTTTCATAAAAAGAAGGTCATATAAACAGTCAAACACGGTGGCGGTAATGTGATGGTCGGGGGCTGCTTTGCTGCTTCTGGACCTGGATGACTCCCGTAACTGATAGAATCATAAATTCTGTTGTCTTCCAGAAAGTCTTTCAAGCTCAAGAGCGCTCAAGTTATGCAGCAGCACAATGATAGTGACACACCAGCAAGTCCACCCCTGCATGGCTTAAAAAAACAAACCTCTGAGAATGCTTTTGATGGACTTCAGCATGACTCGAAAACAAGCTGACTGAATTAAAATCATTTTGCAAAGAACATTTGGCCAAAGACTCATGGCCAGGTACTGAAAACAGCTGATTTTAGCTCTTGTTGCAAATGTTGGCACAGCCAGTTTATTAGGTTTTGTATAACTTTTTATATTAATAAATTAACATTTGAAAACTGCATTTGCTTGGGTTACTTTTGTATAATATTAAAACTTGTTTGATGATCTGAAGCAAAAGCACTGTAGGGGTACTTGAACAATCACAAACATCAAAGCTTTTTGTGTGGTTTGAATAAACTCATTAACATTTATGTTTTTCTAAACACGACAACTGATGTGTTCCTTATGAAAAAAATATGTTTATTGTGCACTAACAGAGGACTGTAAACACAAATAATATAACAGTATAAGTGGTTTGTCCTGAGGCGCACAAACAGATTCATAAAAGAATATTAATGACACATCGGTGAGTCTGATGATGTCATTTATTATCAGCTTGAGCTGAAGAAGACTTTGACAGTGTTGTTATAGATTGTGTTGCCCAGCTCCAGTGGATCCTCCTCCCTCGCTGCTGCCATCACCTCCAGGACTTGTCTGCAAGAGACAAATAGTGAAATCTTAAAATTAAAGGTCTATTGTGTTTAACAATATTCATGCTTCAGTGCGACGTCTGATTGTATCCATTGATTTATAAAGCGTTTCCCTTTAGTGACTCACATGATATGACAGGGCTCATTCCGGTCCTTCAGGCAGTGTCCTGCCTCCCACTTCTTCTTTGTGGGAAATGTAGTTTTAACACATTTGGACCCGGCATGAGTGTTCTTCACACCACACCACGGGGCGTCTGGAAATGAGCAGGAAGGTGGAAATCCATAAATAACATGAATGTAGCATTTAAAGAACTGTAACATCAGCAAAATATTTCTATAAAGTGAGCACAAACCTATTTAATCTAATATATTCCCTCTTATTGGTGATACAGCTTCAACAAGAATATAAAACCAATGACTCCAGAGCTTTAAGAAAACTTTATATTAAAGGTTCACTGTGTGATCAAACTCAGGCCACATTCTGCCAAAAGCTTTAAAATAAACAGACGGTGTGACTCACCTGTTTCTATCATGAGCCTCTCTGTGGGGATCGACTTCATAGCTTCAATATTGGCCTCTGTTTTCAAGGAACTGAAAGATATGGAAGTGAGACTCAGTGTGATTCAGGTCACGTTCAAGGAAACCGAATAACATTTCTCAGATTATCCCACCATCCATTTATTCCAATATAGAGGTCCAGGTCAATGAGAGCAGCAGCATCTTCTGCAGTTCCATCAAACGAGTGGACCTGAAATTCAAATGAGCAATGACGCAGAAGAATTTTGATCAGATTCATTCATAAAGTGACTCAGTGGCTTTTTAAATATGCAAACTAGTTTTATTGAATGAAATCAGGTTTGTTTGTGAATTTATCCCAACAAAAGTATTAACTTCACAGAATTTTACATTTTAGGTCCTTAATCTGTTCAGTTTACATCGAGTATTGTAACCTGTCACAGAAATAATTCACTTTTACACAGGTTGTTTTTGCATCTCCAGGATTTGGAAAGCATATCCTCCTCTGTCTATGATATTTAGATATCATCCTTACCACTCCTCCAACACATCGGTCTCGATTTCTCTTCATGATGTCTGTGGAAACAAAAACAGTTGAATGTTTCGCATAAAAATCAAATTCCTGAACCAGATCAGGTGTCTGCTTCACAAACCTACCAATGAACTCCTGATGGGAGTTTCTGCAGTGGAGGAACATGGGCAGCTTGGTCTCCTCCGCCAGGTCAAACTGCTTCTCAAAGTATCTGCAACACACCAGGAGCAAATTGAGGCACAGGAAACAAAAGTCCACGAGGGCCATTTAAGCTAAAGGCCATTTTCTTATAGACTTCTAAAGAAAGCAGGTTAAAGGTACTTTCACTTTTCAGACTCGGAAACAATCTGCAAGTCTGTGGAGTCATAAATGAACCATAATGTTTATTAGAAGGAAATTAGAAGGAAATCTTCAGGGGAAAAAAAGCTTTTAGACTTTTTGGCACATCTATCAGGTTTCACTGGTAACTTAAAGGATGCAGTCACTATTAAAATTCCCAATGTGGCCTTAAAAAATGGCCGCTGAGTGGCAAGTTTTGCTTCTAGAAGGCCGTTTTTCAAAACTTGTGAAAATCACACAAACTTACTTGAGCTGAGTTTCTTTTGAGCAAAATTCCAGCCTGTCAAAATCTGAAACGAGGAGAAAAGAAACATATTCATAGTTGAACGCTAAGAGTGGGTAACCCACAGAGTGAAAAATAAATAAGGTGTAAATGAAGACTTATTTCTGTCATGTACATTCATACACGTGCTCGTGTACACACACCCAGTCCACACTCTCCGATGGCCACCACCTTTCCTCTGTGTGCTGCTGCCAGCTCCCTCAGCCCAGTTAAATACTGGGATTCTCCATTCTGCTCAAACTCGCCGCACCGGGTGGGATGGCAGCCGACCGTGCAGTAGAACTCATCTGTGATGAAGGAGGGGGCTTGTTAAAGGTGAGACGCTCCAGCACGGAGGGAAACATTAGGTAGGTTTGGCTGATTCTTTAAGACCACAAATCATTTGGTTGCACTAAACGTGCTGTCATTATTACCTCTGGTCTCAGCTAGTTTAAGAGCTTCCCTGCTGTCGTCAAGGCTCCCCCCTGTGATCATAAACTGCAGTGAAGCAACAGATAAAACACGCAATCATTACAACTGAGAACAAATAACTTTCAAATTACACATTTCCAACATACACAAAAAAGAGTAACTATGAGTTTATATTATGTTTTATATCTGCATTGGCATCCTGACTACTTGCACCACAATTCTTTAGCATATATAATAAGGCTCAGCATGATAGAGTATACCGGCTTATATGTTGAGTGTACTTAAAATGTAGGTGAGGCTTTTTTTTGTTCTTGTTCTTCTCTTCTTTCCCTCATCGCCCAGTCCATATCAGGGAGTGAAATAAATGAGGGTTTTGTCCGGGATATTAACACTCATAAACATCTCCAACAGCTATTAGCCAAACTGTTGCTGTAAAAATCTCTATCATCCCAGAATTTCACGATGACCTTTTTAAAACAAATCAACACTGCAGCGATCCCTGAAGTCATGGCTATGATTAAAATACATGAGGCTTCATCAAAGTGATGGACACAGCATACCTTTTCAACTCCTACTTTGAGAGCTCGGTCAATGATCTCATTGAAGTCATCTGTCAGGAAAACGTGAGACTCAGAAAAACATCATGTGAACAGCCCCACAGTGAAAATAAGAGTGAAGCAGTAGCTCACCGTCATGTTTCTGCTTCCCTCTGTAGAGTCCTCTGAACATGGGATCTGTCAGATTCACCCCGATGTCTGAACAGCAAGAGGTCAGGATTTATCTACATGTACTGACTCACAGAGTGTTACTGATTGTATCTTTGGAATTAAAGCATCACAGTATTGGTAACAGCATCATGTGAGAGACGCTCTGAGGTCACGTTATACAATAACACTGAACACATTTAGCAGTAATGGATACTTTACTTACAGACAATAGAAACACACTGGAAATACAGTCATATAACAAAACGAGTAATTACAGATTACAGATTATCTGTCTTTAGCCTACAACATAAAAAACTATAATAAACACCTAAATTCTACAACAATCATGTACTGAGTTTAATAACAATTATTAGTTTTAAAGAATTTATTTCTCTCCATTGGTAATCTTTATAGTGACTCACTGCGAGGTGCCGCATACTTTAAATACTTCTTTGACATACTTTGAAGCAGAGGTAGGTTTTCATTAAGCAATTACTAGATGATTCTTTCAGAAATATTACCAATTAACAATTTTCTGTCAGCTAAGTTACTAAATTGCTTGGACACATCTAAGTACACTGAGAACTGCTCTGCTTTTTAGACATTTCCATTTTGTAGTCGTTAATATTTAAATGAGAGATGGGCTGCTGGGTGTACTGATTTGCATCATTTTATCTCAGTTGATTTTAACTTTGTGTAGTTAGGACTACAACCCTACACAGCTTACAGCTGTCCTTAATGAAGAGCAACCACAGGCTGTATGCAGAGGAGCTTCACGGACAGGTAAAGGGTTTGACTTGGTTAAATCTAATATATGGACCAGCACAGAGCTCATGCTGTGCTATAGCTTCTTCATTGCCAGCACAACAGCACCAACTGCTGATCAGCTGATCAGTCTACTGTGAGCTGCCATCGTGGCAGCTGAACTACTGTAAACCTGAAATAAAGTGCCCGGTATACTGTATTCCTGCACAGCTGTGAGCCTGTCACTCAGTCTGTTCCTGCTGTGTTGTCATTTTCAAGAAGCTAACTTATTAGCACTGATGCTAACAAAACATGCAGGCTGCTCCGTTTAATAACCGTCAGCGGCAGCCAGTGACACTCGCTCTCTTCTACCTTTTCTGGTAGGGTTTAACAGGCGATAAAGCAGGGGCGACTTACCAATGAATTTGTTTTGTGTCATGGTTGAAATTCTCCCAGAAAGAACTACACATGCAGCTCTCACCAATCCCATAATGCCGCAATACCGTAATAACTGTAACAGACCGGATCACTGTTACTGAAAAAGATTTTCGGCTACTCTTCTCATCTTATCCAAACATTTTAGACAATATCGAAAACATTTCGACGCGTGAAGATAATTTACACTTGTATAACTTACACTTAATGCGTGACCAAAAAGAAATGTAATATATTCGCGCTGCTTTTTTTTTATATTTACGGGTTTAGCTTCCAGATGCCACAAAATCCCAGAATCCTTCGCGCTGCTCGGCGAGAAGGTGACAGGGGACGGCTAACATGGCCTCTGCCTATCTCACTCACCAGCAGAAAGTGCTGCGGCTTTACAAGAAGTCCTTGAGACACCTCGAGTCGTGGTGCATATTTAGGTAAGAAGGGCTTCTTAGTTAGTGTAGGACTGTGGAAAAATATAGAATATCGGTGTTTTACATGCAGTAAGTTCACTGTCCTGCTAAGCTAACAGCGAAGCTAGCCGCTGCTAAGCCAGGTCACTCATTCCTCAAGTCTGACAGTTACACCTCCAAAGTGTTATCTTTGTTTCTCCACTTGTCATTCAGATGGGAATGTGCGTAAGAGATCGCGAAGTTGCAATAGTTTCATTTTAATCTTTTTGAGCAGGAGTCAGTATATGTTACTTGTATTTACATGGCGCCAGCTAGCGTCAAAAGCAGCTAATAATAAAGTTCTAGCTGAGCTCCCACTTGGCTCAGCTGCAGACAGGTTATTAAACACATTACTCTACTTAATCATCAGAGGCACTAGTCTAAACTTTATGTGGAAAATACTCCAAAGTTGGTTGCCATGATGTTTAATATTTAGGATAACTAGTATTCATTCAGTCACTCGGATGTAGCGTTATTTGTGTCAGTTCTGGTCCATGTGAATAAATGAAAGGCTTTCATTGGTGAAAGATCAATACATACAGTTAGGTCAGTAAGATTTTGGACATTTATCCATCCATCCGTCATCTTCTATTTATATGGAGTTAGGTTGTGGTGTCAGCAGGCTAAGTATTCCAGATATCCTTCCCCACACCCATACTTTCCAGTACCTCCTGAGGTGTTCCTAGATCACATGAGATCTCCAACGAGTTCTGAGTCCACCCCAGGGTTTCTTTCTGGTTTATCAGGAAGCATCCTAACATGATGCCCGAGCGACTTTGACCATCTCCTTTTACCACACGGGAGCAGCGTCTCTGCTCCAAAATCTGTTATGCTGAGCTCAGACACCGTATGGAGGAAACTAGTTTCAGCCTCATGCATTTGAGAGCATACCTTGTCTGTCAGATTTCATTACCATCGGTGAGGTCTGGGGCTCAGACTGGTAAATTCAAAAGTTGTCCTTTCTGCTCTCTTTACCATCCCAGCCTCATACAACACACACATTACTGCTGACGCCACACCAATCCATTGGTCAAACTCGTGCTCCACATTACAGATTTAATATTACACTAGTAGTCAGCCAGTATTTAAATTATTATTAGAGTTTTGTGCTTGTTTAGAAATATAACCTGCCTGCAGGAGCTTCACATTATGAAAAGAGATGGACAGAAGAATCAGTATCAGGGTTTTAATGTGAATCACCATGTTACCCACGTCAGCATAGTCTTTCTAATGAGGATTGAAGGCTTGAGATGTTATTTATGTTGATTGCAAGAACAATAATATATATTTTCATTTTAGAAAAAGTAAAGAAAATTGTTCATTTTCCTTCTTTAGTTTGTTTTTAAAATGTTTTGCACTGATGATATTAAGTTTTAAGAAAAGTCTTATTGTCTGTTTTATAGATAAAATTCATATGTAATGTTTCTGTTAGTATAAAATATCCACATGTTTATATTTTAACACTTTTTTTCTCTTGATGTCATGTAGTTGCTTCAAACATGTTGGTGGTCTCTCTTGAGGTCTGACTGTTGTTTTGTCATTATAGAGACAAGTACCGTTTCTATGCCTGCTTACTGCGGGCTCGCTTTGATGAAAACAAGACTGAGAAGGACATGGTGAAGGCCACCATGATGCTAAAGGCAGGAGAGGAGGAATTCTGGACCAACCAACATCCTCAGCCCTACATCTTCCCCGACTCTCCTGGGGGGACCTCATATGAGAGATACGAGTGCTACAAGGTAAAACAGAGCAACCATGAAATTATTTCGTTCTGTATCTAACTTTCTTTTTTCTGGACCTAACTTCTGGTCTGTTTGAACTAACTGGGAACAAGTACAGGAAAACATTTGATGTTAGAAACTTGAAGTGAAAACGCTGGCTGTCCTAATGTTGGATAGAGACGTGTCTGTGAGCTCTGCTTTGTCTCTGTAGGTCCCAGAGTGGGTGCTGGACCACTGGCACCCCTCGGAGAAGGCCATGTATCCTGATTATTTCTCCAAGAGAGAGCAGTGGAAGAAACTGAGGAATCAGAGCTGGGAGAAAGAGGTGGGCAGCAAACATTTACATGCCAGCATTACTTTTGACCTCCTTGTTTAACCTGGTCTCCTTTGCCAATGACAAGAAAGGTGCTACTTCTTGTTTACTGTTCCATATAGCTCAGCTTTTAGACTCTTCTTGGTTTTCTACTCTTGGATTCGTATGACGTCATTGAGAGCAAATAATCCTAGACTTGGTCACAGCTTAACGAGAGCTGAGTTGATTGGTTAACTAGGTTAATTGGTGATTTTAAATTGGCTGTAGGTGTGAATATGAGTCTGTCTCTGGGTGTTAGCCCTGTGATAGGCTTGTCTCTCACCCTATGACATCTGGGATAAGTTCCAGCCCCTCTGCAAACCTGATTGGATAAATGGTTAAGAAACTTGATGGCTGGAGATAAAAGGCTTGTTTTAGACAGGAGGATCTAAGGCCTGTATAAGATAAATAGGAATTATTTTGAACTGTAAGTCATGCAAAGCTATACAAGCAGAGCCCAATGCTGAGAACATGGAGCTGGAACTGAATGTAAGGGTCCCTGTTGATGACAAACTCCAGTAGGTGGCACCAGAGTGCTTTTGTTGGACTGGAAACTTCAGGTCACCATTTCCTTCCTTTTACTTCCAGGTTGCCCAGCTAGAGGCTGAGACCCCTGCTGTTGGACCGAAGTCCGAAGCTCTCCCTCCTGCCCGCAAAGAGGGCGACCTCCCCCCTCTGTGGTGGCAGTTCGTCACCCGTCCCAGGGAGCGCCCCACATAAAGGATCTTTTTCACGTGGGCCTGCTCGTTCCTGCAACCTGAAGAAAATCTCACAACAACAGCATGAAGACAGGCTGACCCGTCATTACCATCTGTCTGTACAGAGTCGTTTCTAAAGGAGTTCACCGGTGCAGGTTGCATTAATTAAGAAAAACAGCCTTTGTGAATTCAGAGTGACTCAGAAGTCCTGTAGATGTACCAGTTAATTCCTGTTCTAATAAATGTGTGTATTAAAACTGACTGTGTGTTTTACTGCAGCTGAAACGTTTTGGTTTGTCAGACGTTTATTAGGTGTACCTGAAGGTCTGATCGACCAGATCATTTTACATGTTTCAGGAGTAAACAAAGTGACAGTCAGAGCAGTGCCTTAAAATAAATGTTGCTTAACATTTAATTTAACGAAATAGAAAAGGCTCACAGTTCGCTTTTACATGTTGAGACAAGCAGAGTTTTTGTAGATCATTAAAGCATTGAAAGGCATTCTAGTCGTTATCGGGAGAGTATGACCTTAAATGTCATTAATGTTTAAAAAACCAAACTGAATCCTAAGCTGTTCTCAAACTCTGAGAGTGACCGCACTGACCACAAATCTGTGGTGTTACCGTTGATGGCCACACACACGTGTCCTTGGATCTTGTTAAACTGGCCTTGAGAAAAAATTCCCGAAGCTGTAGGAACCCTGTGAACACGCTCATTAACATGTGGACCTGTGGGTTACTGATGTTAGCTGTGAAATCAAGTGTTACCAGTTGGTTTCTGTACCAGCTGCTGCTCGTGTTTCAGGAAATCTTCATCCTTTAAATTCCCCCAAACCAACAACGTGGAACTTTCACTACTTTCTGAGTTGACTGTGCGTCTCAGGTTCAAGTCCAGTGGTGTGTCAGTTTGAATTTAAAGTGATTTCAGGGCACTTGGTGTGGTTAAGAAAATCTTTAAGCAAGCATTTTATGATTGATAGAAATCCCTGCAAACAGCTCAAAAATAATCAGTTTTATTCATCATTTATGTTTAAAAAAAAAAAAAAAAAGCAAAAAGTTATACAGAAGGAAATGATGCATTTTTGGGGGAATATTTCCAGTACGTAATTGATTCTGGTACAGTTACTTCTGGAAGCTCTTAGTTGCTCAGCTCAAGTGCTGCTCATTGGGCAATTATTTGTGAAGTTAGTTTGGAAGAAATATCTGAATTAGCTTACATTTCAGTGGCCAATGACTTTTAAAACAGCCTGTGCAGAATCACCAGTCACTTTCTAGAAAAATGTTTTCAAAAATCTGCTGCTGCAGAATTCTTGAGTGTCATTGAGAGTGTTTCTATGGTGACAGGCGTGGCCTGAAGTTATGTGGTCGTGCCATCATGGTGACCGCCTTCAGAGAGTAGAAGTCTGAATCCTTCCAGGAGAACCAAACAATGCCATCTGGCCCCAGCAAGTTCTGAGCTTTCAGAGAGTAGTGCCCCCCCTGATGGAGACACGTGGAAGCATCAGTCTAATTTTACCATCAAACCATTGTTTCTTTTATTTCATACAAATTTACTGTTATTCTCACAATTTCTGGCAGAAAAACAACTTTGTAAGACTAGAACTTACCTTGTAGTAGACACCGTTGAGGTTAGCATAGAAACACTGGTGGAACCACCAGCCAGCGTGGCTGATCTCAGCACAGATGTTGCCCGTGTCTGGTGTGCTGAAACCCTGCAGGTCATGATACCAGCCGAACGAATCCTCCGCTGTCCCGCTGAAACCGGACACATGCAGGCGGTACTGGTTGTCCTCATCCTCGATTCTGCAACGAGAGGAAAATGATCAAATCAAAACTATTCAAGGTTGGCTGATGATTTACTCCTGTTGTACTGTGCCAAACAGCTACTACTGTTTATAATAAGGTAGATGAAAACCACAAGGTGGAAACGTTAGTGCCTTTTCAGTTTTTATTGCATGTGACAGTTTTCGTTAAATGCAGCTCTGAATATAGTCTGTAAATCTGAATATAGTTCTGGGTCTGCAAAGAGAAGCCAGTGCGGACGTACACCTTCATTCTTTAACCAGCAGGGGGCAGTCTCTTCTGGCAGCACAAAGGTGTCTGGGTGTGTAGAAATCTATAACAGAACAGATCTACCATGCACTTTCAGTTTGAGGTTTTATGTATTGTTTAATCTTCTTTCAGCTGCTCTCTTTAGGGGTAACCACAGCGGACTACCTGCCTCCATCTCACCCTGTCCCCAGTATCCTCCAACACTACACTCGTGCATCTCCTCTGTGCGCTTCCCCTTTCCTCCTGCCTGGCAGCTCCATATTCAACATCCAGTATATTCTCTATTCCTCCTCTGCACAGGCTCAAACCATCTCAGTCTCACCACTCCAACCTTTTTCTCCAACCCTTCAGCATGACCTGTCCCTCTGATGAACTTATTTCTAATCCCGTCCATCCAAGTCACTCCCAGTGAAAATCTTAAGATCTTCATATCTCCTACGTCCAGCTCGGCCTCCTGCCTATTTGTTAGTGCCGCTGACTCCAAACCATAAATCATAAACCGCTCTTATTGAATACAGTAGGATCTTTTTTTTGTAAGTGATGCTCCTCGTTAGTGCCGAAAAGGAGTATAAGGCAGGTTTGCTTTAGGGCGAGCCTGCAGTGACATCAGCAAGTCCCTATTATTTGAGCATGGAGCATCCCTCAGTTCTTCAGTTTTCATCACTTCCTGTTTAAAAACAACAAGACAGTGAAAATCAGACAGACTTCACCACAGGTCTTCATTAACCATCGTTAAGAGCATCTCTCTTACTGAGTAAGTAACTGTCCAGTTCCTGTGCATTTACCACCTTTCATTCTTCTATTGTGTCTGTTTACCTGAAAGTGTGGTACAGAGCATGTTTGTGGGCGTGGCTCCAGTCCTGCAGGTCAATGCGGAGGCTGTAGTGGCCCTGGTTAGACAGCCGGTGCAGGTGCTGGTTCCCCAGCCAGTGTTCACCTCGCGGCTCGCCAAAGCCATCACGGTACTCAGACCATCCACGGTTGAAGCTCACTGACCCATCACGGCGCCGCTGCAACACTGTCCAGCCTCCACCTAGTGCACACACACACACATAGAATTGTGTAAAGTGTGTGTAGTATCTGAGTGTTTCCATTACTGGCACTAGTATTGCAGGAACTAACACACCAGCTGTCTCACCCTCGGTCTCCATGTCGCAGTAGACCGGCCGGGCGGTGCCTGGTGACAGGACAATGGTGTAAACACCAGAACGACGGACACCGTTGTGATACAGAGACGCACAGTCTGATGGACAGAAAGACAGGGGCTGTACATCTGAAGGGAGACGGACAAAGTTAAAATGTACTGTGAAACATCAAATATCCCACAATTCATCACTGTGTTTGCTGCTGGTGCACCTGGCGGCAGTGTGTCTCGCATGCCGAGTGGTGGCGCAGTCCTGATCACGTTGACCTTGCAGCCCGTGTTGTGACTCATGTGGCGCGCGGTTGCCGACAGGTTTCGGAGCTGCACCTGCAGCTCGTACAGCAGCGCCGCGTGCACGTGGAGCAGCGTGTCGGCCTCGGCGTGACGGCGCTCCAGAGAACGCAACCGCTGGTGAAAGGTTGAGTTTAAGTTAACACTTTCTTCACCCTGAGCAGTGCAATGAGAGAAGATTCACCTTATTGTGTGGTCATAGTGAGGTTAGTCAAATAAATCCCTGAAAAAAGCAAATAGAAAGTAAAAAGAAGCTGAGATGGAGGAAGCTAGTTACCTTTTAGTCAACTTCAGCTTGCTTCATTTGTGTGTTATAAAAAGCCAACGTACCATCATTTTATTGTGAATGTTTTTATAATGGGAACAACAGTAACTAAATATAGCCCTCTGCTTAATAAAAGTGGGGTCAGCTGATCTCTAAGATAAACAGTAACACAATTTAAAGAGTAATTCATTCTACCAGGTGTTCCACAGGGCTCGGTGCTCAGACCACTGCTGTTTAATATCTACATGTTTCCTTAGACAAAAAGTTAACCACTTCAGCTGCTACTGAGCTCTAGACTGAGGAGGAAGGTTTGGCAGAAACGTAATGTCCAAATGCCTCTGTGACCGAACTTAATGTTGAAACTTGGTTTTATAGGTACATAATATTATTTGTTCTAATTAATTATTTATTAGTTTTAGAAGCCTGCAAGGATCCATTGTGGGTTGGGCAGACTGAGAATAATGCAGCTAATCCTGTTAGCGTTCAGGGTTAATGAGGACTTAGTGAGTGTCAAGACAGAGAGATATAGCGAGATAAAGGAGAGCGTTGTATTTCCCTGCATGAGTAATGTTCTCCACCCATTTAGATAAAAATCTTTTTTATTTCACTTTATTTAATTTATTTTATTTTTGAAACTCCAAAGATTAAAACATGTGTTTCCTGTTTCACTTTGTTCACTTTAATCGTGCATATGTTGTTCTTCTCTGTGTTTGGAGGATTTATTTTTCTCTTTTCTTCAGCACTAATTATAAGTAATCACACTACTAGAGACTAACTGTACTTTTTTCACTCAAACTAATTTCTTGAATCAGGATTTATTTCTTTGCTTTGGAGATATGACATCACACTCTTTTTTTAAGCCCACGTGTCTCAAAATACAAATCTGTTCTTTACAAAGTTCAACACGACATCTCATGAACGTGGAGTAGACAGCAGGAAGTCTACCTGCATCTCCAGGGCCTTGACTCGATGCCGGTGGTTCCTCAGCTCCTCCTGGAGCCCTGACATCGTCTCTTTCAGCTCTTCCAGCTGCTCCTTTCTGTTTTCGTTCTCATGGAGCCAATGGGAGACGTCGTCTGTACACCGGAACATGTCTGGGCAGCGTTTTTGAGAATTTCCTACAGGAGGAAGTGTTGCAGTCAGTCGGCATTGTCCGTTAGACATCAGCTGACTGCTGAACTCACCGCACTCTGACGCTGATGAATTGCTGATAGTCTGGTTGAAGGTTTGGTTGGTGCTATCTTCAGCGCCAGTGTTGTCATTGCGTATCACCAGTGGGGCGTCAGGGGTCAGGTCGGTAAGCGTTTCCGTAAAGGAGGTAAAAGGATGCCAGTCAGCGTCCTCATAGTGGTCCTTTCTCATATCTGGCTCGTCCCAGTTTGTCTCCATGCTCGTGTCCCGTATGTCCCTGTTTGTTTGGATATTCCTGCCCGGTGCATCGGCGTCGGTTTCTGTGAGGGTGTTGGGGTGGGCATCATCATCATGGGTAACATCTGAGACCAGAAAGTCACTGTCGACAGGCCGAACGCACCAAACAATCAGTAAGAAATAAAATATTAACACTTCAACCCGCTTCATTCTGAACAAATGACTCCTCCTTCCTGGCTGTTCACTTGTATCCGAAACAAATTCAGTTTACTGGTAAAATCAGTTTCAGTTACTGAGTCAGGATCAGACTCTGACATCATCGCAGAAAGATGCGGTCCAGATTTCACCCAAACGTAGGCATTAGGTCCAAAACTGTGGGAGATCTGAAAGAAAAAGTAAAATAAGGTGTATTGTGACCTTTAAACTCAGAGCCACACCAGCCAGGTCTCTGTGAATGTGCGAACCCGATCCAAAACAATGAATGTGGTTTAGAGTGGAGCCACTGTTTTGAACTGAATCAGTGCATAATCAAAAGCCATCCAGGAACAAATGAACTTCTTCACATCAGTCTTACAGCTCGTCTGTTAAGATTTCTGTTTTGTTGTGCCAAAATAACATTTCACAGGCATCTTAGATTAGATGAAACTTTATTTATTCCTCGGGTGGGTTCCTCCAGGAAATTCAGTTTCCAATAGCACAGCACCAACAGAAGTTGCAGAATGTGAGCAGGAATAATCATATATACACATATATATAAATACAGAGTATATAATAGGGATAAATAGAATAAACAGGAATAAGAATACAAGGCAATTACACATTTCAACTATTGTGTGTCTATTGCACTGTTGGATATTTTAAAATCTCATAAATATTGCACAGTGAAAAAGGCACTACAGCTCAGTTGTTCCCGCCCTCTTTCCCCCCCGTGTCCCCTCCCTCTTCCCTCCAGCGAGGAGTTAAATGGTTTGATGGTGTGTGGGACAACGGAGAGAAGGCTTGGTGGATATTCAGAATTTAAAAAGGCTTTTTCCATCTAGATGACGATGCTTTTTTAATTTTGAATGTTTTACCTTCAGCAGGCCTCTTCCTGCAGCCTTTACACCTAAAACATGGGTGGACTTTGGCCTAAAAACATTCTCATATATCATTTAATGTACCAGGTATATGTAAGCACACGTCTTGGGGCAAGTTGAGAGTGTTGCCTTTTCCACACAACAACTACAATCTGACCTTTTGTTGTTATTCCCCAACACAAACAGAGCAGACGTTAAATAGCCTCAATCTGCAAACTTTTTAAATATAACCTATATAATGACCTCCTATAGGAATAGTGCAGATAATGCACAAGTGGTCAAGTGGGCCTCATGTATGCAGTCTGTATGCTTCACCCAGGCTCCACCCTTTACCTAAACCAGGTACTTCTGTTAGCTGTTGTCAGCTAGATGAGAGAAATACTAAACTGAATTATGTAGCATAAGAAACAAGTTTAGCTTTATTTATAAAGTAGGAATTATAACGATCAGAGACAAAAAACTTGTATTAGTGCTGCAGTGCCGAAGATGGTCAAACTGTAAAGGAGGAGTAAAAGTTGATGAAAACTCATTAACATACTGCGCTGAACAATGAATCTTGTAGCTTTGACAATAAAACTGAATGAGTGCCGACTCTGAGTGTCTGTCCTCAACAGGTTTTTGCAGTGATTTTCTTAGATTTAAATCAGGTAAAACTAATCCTCCTAAGAAAACCTGATAAGTTTGAGATAATGTGTAATAAAAGTGTAACAGCAGTACACCAAACGATTAAACCTGCTGAGCTGACTACAGATCATTTTATATTTAAGATGAAAACTACTCTCCTACCTGCTGCCATGTCGCAGTGCTGAATTCAGCTGAATGGAAAAGTGTCAGGACAGCCAGGAAGCAGCATGTGTGTCTGTTTGTTCAGCACCGGGTATGACATCGTATCCTTATAATCCTCTAATGAGATTGGCAGCCAGTGGCCTGGAAAGTAATAGATTACATATAATGGGATTAGAGTAATGTGACAACAAGTTACAGTAATTGCATTACAGTAAACTAAAGAGGACTTTGTGTGTTTTAACTCTTTGCTTTAAGTGTATTAATTTTTTTGTGTTTTTACCGATAAGGAACTTATTTTGTCCCCTATTCAGTATAAATCTTTGATTTTAGGTGAAGCTTTTTCGACCACGGATAACGCAAACGTGACAAATATTATTGAGAAAATTTATAATTTAAAGAACTGATGTGTTTAAATATCAAACAAATCTGAAACCTTGTGGGATTTTGACCAACTGGAATTTTTTTGTACTCTGGGCACCTCAAAGTGATTCGTGTTTCCTCCTGCGACAGGACAAGGGATCTTTCAGTTGTTAAGCAAACATCACCACACTATGGAGACACAAATGAGTTGCTGCTACAGGCTACAGACGGATGTAATTGTAACAGCAATCTGAAATACCTCTAAAACTCACTCAGCTGTCAGATTCAGCTGTGCTTCATTTTTAAATGTTAACATTATGATAAAACTACCTGATAATTTATAAGACTGTCTTTCTGCTAATGCTCTTACTGTGAATATTAATTCCAGATCTCTAAAACTGTCCAATTTCAGTATATTTATTGTCTTTGTTGAGTGTCGTCTCTCTCTCTCACACACACACACACACACACACACACACACACACACACACACACACACACACACACACACACACACACACACACACGCAGAATATAACAACTGGAAGTTTCCGGCTTTTTTAATACTGTCACTATCTTCAATTTGAGTCCAACTGACTACTTTTTCCATCAGACCATTAGCTCTTCGTTTTATCCCCAAGAATACTTGAGAGTTTTTAATGGACTGAATGTTCAAGGCTGTTTCCGCCTTTAATGGGTTTCTGTTTACCGTTTACCTCCACAAGCTGCTCCGTTTGTTCCATTAGAGAAACTGAAAGAACTGGAAAAAAGTACCGGTGTCACGGTGCTCTCAAAACGGACTTTAGATTTATGTTTGACTTTCAGAGCTTTGATTTATGCTTAAATTGCTTTCAACACAAAAGTTATTTGAAATAATGTGACATGCTGCAAGTGATAAGATGAAAAACTCTGTTGTATTATGATAATACTGTGAGTAAGGGGTTATCACGGGAGAACAAAAGCTCCTTTGATGTTGATGCCTTAAGCAAACCATAAGCAAACACTTCAGAACAGGTGGTGTTGGTGTGTGGGTGGTGCTTCCTTTGCTTTCACTAACTGTTAATTGCTGCATAGAGATACAGAAACTACTTGGTTAGCACAGGAAGAGATGAGCAAAATATTGTATGATTTTTGATAAATGTGACGCTATTCCGTCTGTCATGACAGCAGCTGAAGTGCTGAGTTAGAGTGCAGTATGGTGAGTAAAAACACAAAAAATGTATACATTTAATTAGTACCAACAGTTGCTTTTGGATGTTTAGTGTTGAGGTTTTTTCTTTTCTTTTTCTTTTTTACCCTTCATCCACCTGGACATCCTCCCCACACTAAACGACTGGCGTTCCCTCTGGGATGATTCATGCAACCACTAGAGGGTGGTGTGATTTACAGTTTTTCTGAATTGCTAAAACACTAAATCCCATTGTAAAAACTAATCTGTCAACTATGAAAACTCTTTCGTCAAATCAACCTCACAGTTGCCAAAATCTTAAACACTATTCATCTGGTGAGGACACCATTTGCAAATCTGAATCTCCCGTTTACCAAAACTCTAAACACATTCTCAAACACAAAACACATTCAGCGGTGTGGTGCACTTGTACCCAGAATGGTGCACACAGGCAACAGAAGTTAAACACAACTAACACTGTTTTCATCATTAACACACTACCACTCAAAATTGAAAACACATGTTGCAACCTCTTCTGCTTTTTGCTCGATTGAATACAGCTTCATCCACGGAGATGTATTCATGAGGCCTAACCATTGAGTCAAGCTCAAAGATTCTCTGTACACAACAAACTAACTTTAGTTCTGTAAATGAATAATATGATGTATACATGTGCTATGCATACAAATATACTTGTAACTAAATAGTATTTTGTTTAGAACTGAAAGACGGCCACATGAGGGTGGAAGAACACGCACGCGCTCACAACGCCAGGAGCCACTTATTGTGGATATGGTCCGTCAGAATAATGCAGTTCGACTGCATGAAATACAGCAGTGGATTACAGAAGACAACATACATGTTGAATCTAGCAAAAAGGAGAAGAAAAGGTTGCAATGTCATAGGTCAGCGTGCCATTATTGAACTGCCTGGTCAGCGTGGTGGAAACGTACCTATCTGTGGTGCCATCAGCAGCTATGGGGTTCTCCACAGTCTGTTACTGTTGGGCCGTACAACACCGAACTTATAGCAACATCCCTGGAGGGTCTACGGGATGCTTTGCTCGAGTAGAGAGATCGCGAGCAGGCAGAGCTTCCCATATCATTTGAGACAACGTGAGCTTTCACCGAGGTCCAAGAATATGCAACTGGTTTCACAATGAGCATTTTTATCAATCTGTTTCTTCCACCATACTCTCCCTTTTGAACCCTATCAAGGAGTTTTTCTCAGCATGGAGATGGAAAGTACAGTGGGGCAAAAAAGTATTTAGTCAGCCACCGATTGTGCAAGTTCCCCCACTTAAAATGATGACAGAGGTCAGTAATTTGCACCAGAGGTACACTTCAACTGTGAGAGACAGAATGTGAAAAAAAAATCCATGAATCCACATGGTAGGATTTGTAAAGAATTTATTGGTAAATCAGGGTGGAAAATAAGTATTTGGTCACCTCAAACAAGGAAAATCTCTGGCTCTCACAGACCTGTAACGTCTTCTGTAAGAAGCTTTTCTGTCCCCCACTCGTTACCTGTATGAATGGCACCTGTTTGAACTCATCATCTGTATAAAAGACACCTGTCCACAGCCTCAAACAGTCAGACTCCAAACTCCGCCATGGCCAAGACCAAAGAGCTTTCGAAGGACACCAGGAAAAGTATTGTAGACCTGCACCAGACTGGGAAGAGTGAATCTACAATAGGCAAGCAGCTTGGTGTGAAAAAATCAACTGTGGGAGCAATCATCAGAAAATGGAAGACATACAAGACCACTGATAATCTCCCTCGATCTGGGGCTCCACGCAAGATCTCATCCCGTGGGGTCAAAATGATCATGAGAACGGTGAGCAAAGATCCCAGAACCACACGGGGGGACCTGGTGAATGACCTGCAGAGAGCTGGGACCAAAGTAACAAAGGTCACCATCAGTAACACACTACAACGGCAGGGAATCAAATCCCGCAGTGCCAGACGTGTTCCGCTGCTGAAGCCAGTGCATGTCCAGGCCCGTCTGAAGTTTGCCAGAGAGCACATGGATGATACAGCAGAGGATTGGGAGAATGTCATGTGGTCAGATGAAACCAAAGTAGAACTTTTTGGTATAAACTCAACTCGTCGTGTTTGGAGGAAGAAGAATACTGAGTTGCATCCCAAGAACACCATACCTACTGTGAAGCATGGGGGTGGAAACATCATGCTATGGGGCTGTTTTTCTGCCAAGGGGACAGGACGACTGATCCGTGTTAAGGACAGAATGAATGGGGCCATGTATCGTGAGATTTTGAGCCAAAACCTCCTTCCATCAGTGAGAACTTTGAAGATGAAACGAGGCTGGGTCTTCCAACATGACAATGATCCAAAACACACCGCCCGGGCAACAAAGGAGTGGCTCCGTAAGAAGCATTTGAAAGTCCTGGAGTGGCCTAGCCAGTCTCCAGACCTCAACCCCATAGAAAATCTGTGGCGGGAGTTGAAAGTCCGTGTTGCTCGGCGACAGCCCCAAAACATCACTGCTCTCGAGAAGATCTGCATGGAGGAATGGGCCAAAATACCAGCTACTGTGTGTGCAAACCTGGTAAAGACCTATAGTAAACGTTTGACCTCTGTTATTGCCAACAAAGGTTATGTTACAAAGTATTGAGTTGTATTTTTGTTATTGACCAAATACTTATTTTCCACCCTGATTTACCAATAAATTCTTTACAAATCCTACCATGTGGATTCATGGATTTTTTTTTTCACATTCTGTCTCTCACAGTTGAAGTGTACCTCTGGTGCAAATTACTGACCTCTGTCATCATTTTAGGTGGGGGAACTTGCACAATCGGTGGCTGACTAAATACTTTTTTGCCCCACTGTATACGACGAAACCCTCACACAAAGGAAAATCTACTTCAAGCAATGAATGGAGCATGGTGAGATGGGAATCTTGCCAGGGCTGGATTGGGCATGCTAAAGGATGCTTTCCTTGTTGCATCGCAAGGGAGACCATAACATATGATGTGGATGAAGTCGTGTGGCCTGACCCAGCACAGAGATGCTGAGGCAGATTAAATTATCTGAATATGCTGTAAAAATATATATATTTTTATGTATATGTAACTTTTTTATTGCAGTTTTTTTTGTTAAAATGTGAGTGCAAGAATAAATGAATGAATAGATGATGATTATTTTCCAGCTATCCCACAGCGTTTTGTATTTATTTCTGTTTGCACATTGGCTGGTTTTGTGTGGCTTTTGACAGTAGTGGTTGATTTTGATAAAAGTTAAAGTAGTTTTGGGTCAAATGTTTGGTTTTGCAAGACAAGTTGAAGGTTTTGTGTGTGTAGCTTGAATTTTACAGTTTGTGTTTAGTGTTTTGGGACAAAGAGATGAGATTTTAGGAAATGTGTTTTAGCAATTCAGAAAAACTGTAATGAAACATGCAACATTTCCTGGAATTAGTGATACCATCACTCACAATGCTAGAGGCTGTTTACACAAACATTTATTAATGATTTCAGTTTCTGTCGTTTAGACTACAAACCTGCTTTTGAAGCCAGGAATCAGACTGCCACGGTCTGTGGTCAAATGGTGTTTGTGTGGAATGCAGGATGTGGACTAATGTTGAACTCACTTGATAAAACAAAAAACAAACAAACAAATGAAAATTAAAAATCAAAATCAAACAGGGCAGGACAATAAATGCAAGTTCAAGGACCCTCCTGGGAAATAAGAGGCACAAAGCACAAGGGGACACTCAGCTAATATATACAGAAGGGTGATTGGAGCAGAAAGGAGACACCTCGGGGACAGAACTGAACTAAATCAGAATAACAAGCAACAGAAGAAAAGTAAAACATGAAAGCAAAGACAGATGACTATCAAAATAAAGCAGGAAGTGAGTAAACTGATATGACAGACTAACATACAGATTTGACACAATGTGACACAAGGAGAAGACTCAGATGGTAAACAGATTAAGCCTTAAACAGGATACTAACAGCAGAAACGTAACTAAATACGTTTCAACAATAACAAAACTAAGAACCAAATAGAAGACCGGGATGTTAAACAGGCACAAAATGAAACATCTGGATCCAAAACCAGAACCCCTACGGTTCCCCCTGCAGGTAGCTTGCTCTCAGGACTTAAGACCACGTGAGTCCAACTCAAATCAAAGATAAAGACAAAGTGTTGTCTAACTGAATTCTTAGCTGCAAGTTAACTAGTCTAGTTTTCAGAAAATAGATGTTATCTTTCAAATGAACTCCCTCATATTTATTTAGAGTTGTAGTGAAATGTTTTATGTATCTAAATACTTAAAGTAAGGTGTGGGTGCAAGCCAAACCCTAACTTTAAATGAGTCTCTGGTGACTTGATGGATGTTAAAATGTAAAGGTGATAAATGTCAGAGCTCAGTATTCATAAAGAGACGTTCCTGGTGAGTTTTTGGGAGAAGCGGAGGAAGGTAAGGAGGTTAAAGCCATGGTTCCTTCACCTTTCCCATGGTATTACCAGCACCCGTCTCCATCAGGGTCATCATTACAATAGAATTAGTTAAATCACCTGAGACTTAATCAAAACTTTACCTTTGTAGTCATACATTGTGGACTCAGACAACAAAAAGATGTGAATGTTTGTGTAGAAGTCCAAACTCTTACTCACACATTTGACCCTCCTCTTCCTCTTTGTTTGAACATGTCAGTCCGGTGCTAATCGGCTAATATGCTGCAGATATTTACAACACAACAACATCAGCGTCAGCAGTGTGGGGATTTGCCACGGTGTATTTATCTTCACTGATTTTTCTGACTTTATAGTCTGAGAACATCAAGTCTGTTTGTCTGATGGGCACTGCACACAAATCTGTCGATAACAGTCTAAAAGGAGACGGCCACTCGGGAGCGAATCGTCTACCGAGGCCATTGCTCGTTGCTTTTTAAAATAAAGAAAGATATTTAATGGATTCTTCTTTTGCAGATGCTCCATTCCTGCAGCAAATTTCATTAAAATTTTCCTGGTAATTTTTGTGTAGTCTTACAAACTGATAATTAGAGAAGTGCCATTGAAAACGTACAAACAGGCACAGATGGAAACAGCTCATTATCAGTTTTCTGCTGGTCTGATGTCATAACATGAACACATTATAAACACATTTTAATACTACGATGAGTATGCTCACAGGTCCAATGTATTTGTACTAAATTTAACTATGTTACTTTCTACTTTGGATGCAAATATTAATATCAACATTATATAGTAAGTAATTAAAATAACCAGCTGGTGTGATGATAAAGAGATTTATACAACAATACCTAAACAATAACCGTCCAACAGCACATCTGCTTAACTGCATATGACTTATGACTAGCTTGCAAAACAAGTATCCCAGATAAAAATATATATGACCTTAATAATAAATAAATGTGACAAATAAATAATAATACAGCAGTAAGAGGAAACCCACAAACAAACAGTGTCAAAAATAATAACCACATTACTCCAAGAAACAAGTAAACAAAACAAAACAAAACAAGGAGAAAAAAAAAAGAAAAAAAGAAAGAGTCCCTCCATCTAACGTTAGCCAATCAGACCATTTCTCACTCTGTCACAGTCTGGCAGAGGCAGACTGCATGTATTGTGAAGAGTGGACCCAAAGTGCAGACATGAAGGAACTTGGACCAAAGCTTGAGTATTAACAATAAACGAGCCGTTTAATACGGCTGATAAAGTACAAAAACAAAAGGCAGATGCACACAAGAAACAACTTAGCTAGAACTAAACTGGGAAAACAAAATGATAAACACAAAAGGCAAAGAACAAAACCTTGAACGGTGCAAAAAAAAACCTAAACATGGAAAATCCTGGAGACATGACGTGGAACAACAGACGACCTGACAAAGAATGAACAGAAACACACAGACTAAATACACACAAGGGTGATTAGGGGAAGTGGAAACACATGGGGAAACAGCTGACACTATTCTGACATAACGAGACAAAGGAAGCAAAGCTGACTACACTGACATAGAACACAGACCTTCAGAATAAAACAGGAAACATGAGACGCAGATAAGACAATATAAACTTGACAACATAAGACGCGCAGCATGAAACAGGGAGAGGGAAACTTAAATACAGGGGTAGAAAACACAAAGAGAAACTAATAAACAAATGAACTTAGCTACCCTAAAGAACTAAAACATAACATCCAAATGAACGAAAACTCAAAACGCTGGGTCAAAAGACCAGGAACGTGACACACTCTTCAGACTCCTTCAGAACGAACAAGTTCACTGCAAATCCTACAGGGGGGTGACGGTGTGATTGGTTGGAATAGCAGTGTGACTGAATCCTCTGCTCTGGGTCAATCCATCACAAGCTGCAGCTACACTTGCAAATGAACACACAATCACACTGGAGACACCTCATGCACAGCTTCACAGAGGGAGAGAGATGTAGACTGTTTTTGCTGTGCAGTTCTGTGCGCCACTAAGTTAACCTCTATGCTGATCAATATTGCATCATGCAGGAGCGAATATAAAGATTGTGGAAGGCGGATGAAGCGTGAATATGGCAACGTGTTTACTGTGGGGAAGTAACTTTGAAGCAGAGTCAGGACAGGCTTCGTGGTCTGAACATCACGAGTGTCAACACAGGACTTCAGTACATCTGATGGTTGTTTTTGTCAAACATGACTGACCCACAAAGCCAAACGCTGACTATGAAGTTCTTACAGAGGATGCAAGATGTTACAATTAAAATATTAAAAACTAGTTATTTTAATATGCACACAACCCAACAAAAGGACGTTTTACAGCTTCATTAAAAAAGAAAACAAAAATGTCCACAAAAGTCCCCAAGTCTTTTAAAAGTCCATAAATCAGGCTTTTAAATAAACATATATTTTTTTCAGCAATCACAGACAAACCTGTTAGTTGTGAGAGATTCAGAGATATTTCTGTGGGATTTTAGATGTGACCTGTCAGACATTTAAAAAATATATAAATAATGTCCGACTGCTTTTCCAAGAAAGTTTAGCCCTGCGAGCTTGAGCGAAAGAACGATGAGTGTCCCTGTTTGGAGGGGTCGAGCGATGGGAGGAAGTAAGAACGTCATCATTGGTATGTTTGTGCTTTGGTGACAGAGTATAAAATCAGTCAGTGCATCAGAGGAACAGAACAGCAGAAATCTGTTTCACTGCTAAACAACAAACTGCATCAGACAGAGAGTCAGAGGGCAGGTGGTGAGTGTCTTCATTATGTGTTGTTATTTATTTACTTTATAGTCTTTTATTTATTTTAATATTCTAAGATATAACAGCTAAAGCAAAAGCAACAGAACAGATTGTTTATATGTAATGAAGATAATTTTATATTAAAAATTTCAGCATTTTACAGTGATGTGAATGTTTGAGAGAATTGTACTTTGTTACTCTGTTGCGTATATTCTTAATTTTGTATTTTATTTTAAAAAAATGCTTTAACTTAACATAAAAAAGTGAAAAAGTGGTTTCTCTGATGTTTGATTGGTATAAATGTAATGTTTAGGAATGCATACTGCGTATAAATACAGCAATGCAATGACACATGTCGCAAGCTTTTGATAGAAGACAACATGAACAAAATGTGTCATTTAAAAAATTATTTTATGCCTGATTCACATTTTCATTCCATTTTTTGACATTTACTTCTTACTTCTGTCATGTGAAATTTTGTTCATGTGTGTTTTCATTCTGTCTCCCTGTGGAAATATGGGACTATATATATATATATATATATAAATATATATATATATATATATATATATATATATATATAACTCTGTAGAGTTTAGAAACTAGAATATTGGTGAATATATCGAAAGAAATTTGAGAATAATTTGATTTTTGCACTATAAATGTCTTACCTTTTGACCTCTTAACCTAACCTATTGTTTAATTACAATTATCTTATCTTATCTTATCTTATCTTATCTTATCAGAGTGCATTTTGGAAGAAGACACTGATTTAAAGCCAGGATGAACTTAACCTGACTGTAACTGTGGTTGTCTTGTACTGTGTATTTCAACAGCAGATGCACAGAGAATGTGTCCTGTGTTGCTATTGGTGGCTGTAATAGTAGTGGACGTGGCCAGAGGAGCTGAAAGTCAATGCTGGGACCATCCCGTCTGTCAGGAGGTCAACTCAGAGAGGAGCATGATGGTAAACGCACACACACTGAGGCTGAACCAAAGCTGTGAAACTGCAGGCCAAGAAGAGCTGAGGATAAATAGTGAGAAGTGAGAAGTTTACCGTGCACAGATGATTTTAAGGGCCCAAGGTTGCATACAGACAGATTTGTCAGTGCTGCTGAAGTAGAATTACAGAGGTGATTCCACCATTCAGCGTTTCTGATCGATAACTGACGTCTTGATGTAAAATGTTATAGAAATGACAGAAAACGAGGGACAGAACATAAATTCAAGGCCACAAACAAATCATTAATTTGATGCAGCATCATGATGGACTGTATATATGAGATGAGTCACTGTGAAGTCATTTACTGGGTTTCACTGGTAGACTCAGCATGGGTGGGTTTTCAGCCTGGGACGCCTGAACTCCCATCATTTGAGATTGGAGCAAAGGGAATTATGGGAAAACGTTATCATCTAAAATTTGGTCAGATGATAGCCTTTGATGGTTTGCACGTTTTGTCCTGCAGGAGTGTATTCAGCTTTGCCACTATGAAAACAACGAGAAGCCCATCATCCCTGGTGATGCCCACCTGCAGCCTCCTCCCCCATCGGGCCCTCTTTCTCTTTTACCTTTCCCTCCGCCCTTCTTCTCCTCTCCTCAGGCCAAACGCTCCTACTCCATGGAGCATTTCCGCTGGGGGAAGCCTGTTGGGCGAAAACGCCGCCCGATTAAAATCTATACCACCAACGGTCTGGAGGAGGAGTCGGCGGAGCTTTTCCCCGGTGAGATGAAAAAGCGGGAGCTCGCTGGTGAGATGATGACGATGGACGATAACGAGGGGAAGTTAGCAGAGGGGGGCCAGGAGGAGGTGCCAGATGACAGCCATGAGAAAAAAGATGAAATGTACAAGATGAAGCACTTTCGCTGGGGCGGCCTGCCGGCAAGCAAGCGTTACGGCGGGTTCATGAAGAGCTGGGACGAGCGCAGCCAGAGGCCGCTGATCACGCTCTTCAAAAACGTCATCAACAAAGAAGCCCAGGAGGAGAAGAGGGAGCAGTGAGGAGGGAGAACAGAGGGAGGGATGGAGAGAAGACGAGCAGACAGAAAAGTTTTATTCACAACTGCAAACAAGTCCTGTGACTAAATACAAGATGTGTTTTTGTCATTGCCACATTATGACAGGGTTATTAATCCATGAGCGCCGCATGATGTAATACGTCCATGAGCAGGAAATATGAAATTATTTGAATACCCCAGTTTTCCAAGTTTTTGGATATTTTGATTCAAAACACGGTAACCACCAAATATTACCAGATCCAATCAGCCTTTCTGTACAAAACAACGTTGGGGCTGCTTTCCATTTGTTTGAGCTGAATAACCAACGAGGAGAGAAAAGAACAAAGGGAAAGAGAGTGGTCTCATGTCACTCAGGTTAATAATGTTGTCTTATTCAGGGGTAAACAAGGAACAGTATCTTTCCCATCATGTCTGTAAGTCCCTGCCTCCCAGACTGATATACTGGACCTAACACAGAGTTCTCGATGCTTCAGAAGAGTCAGAACTTTCATTGAGGTCATTACACTGCTGTCATTATAATCCCCCAGAACAAAAGTACAGATTTAGTTTTATTGTGACAGATAATGTCCAATGGAAGCTAACAGCTCGCTCAGTGAGATGCAAGTAATAAAAAGGATTATTATTAGTATTATTTTTTTTTAAATCTTTGTCATCTTTGTGCCAGAAATGAGAAAGAAACACAGAAAGAAGATGAGCGAGAGAGAGTGGGTGAGAAGAAATGTTTCATATAATGCAAAAAACCCTGTAAATCGCATAAAAACATAAAGATATTTGCAAGCAAAAAATACAATGCATGTTGTTTTTCTATCTGATTCAAAGAAAAATACAATTTATAAAAACTATATAATAAAGATTATTCCTCACGCATTTACATTATAGCCATATGATGAATAACTGATTATAGTGAGTGCTTCAGTAACAGCTGATCAGCACGTGTGTGTAATACCACACACAGGCCACCAGAGAGCAGCACTGTTATACAGCTTTACAGACATGTCCACGGCTGATCAGTTGAAAGGTTTATTGTCGTTTATTAATAAATTAAATGCTTTACATGTGACACATTTCACAGAAGTCGAGCTCAATAAAGAAGCTTCAAGAAAAAAGCATAGAGTCAAACCAAGGACATTACTCCTGCAACATGAGCATTGTCTACGCAGCCAGAGGTATTTATCTTAATTTGAATTAAAATCATCAAAGGTTGCTGAGTTTTCTTCTGATTTTCAAGCATTTTAGTTTTATACAAATGCTATAACTGTATTTATGACTTAGCTCAGTTTAAAATGAGTTTTAACTGACAGATTTGCTTCATCATTTTAAGGGATGAAGGGTCCTGTCCTGGCAACGTCTGACTAGAAACTAGAGCAGCAGATGAGTCACAGAGTCCCTCCTTACTCAGTCCTATGTTAACAGTCTTTACAGAAAGACGTTTAGACATTTAGAGAAATTAGGATTACAGGAAAAAGTGGAAATTTAATTCATTGTGATCTTCAACATATTTCGGTTGGCTCGTGTGATGGGGCACATAATCAATGGTGGATCAATGTCCCTCTTAAGGGAAAATCTGGGACTTTCCACCATTTGCCTTTTAGAACCAAAGAAACTTCTCGGATGAAACATCCTCAAGAACTTACAGAGGTCCAGTCGCTTTATTTCCAGACTCCTAAGATAAATAACTAATAACACATTTTACATTGATTTATGAATACTAAAGTATAAGTCCACGGTCATTAAGTGTGATCCTTTGCATTAATTTTAGTCAGACGTAATGAATCCTATGTGAAGTGTGTCCCTGTTGAATATGGTCCAGTGGGTTGTACCTTCACTTACTTTTAGTCTGCAGCAAATCTATTAGTATATTTACATATAAAGATTGTGTTATTCTACCCCACGCATAATCAGCAATTATAGGAGAATTTTTTCTTAAATAGACAAATGTGCACAAATTATAATTATTAAATTACAGAAATGAAAAATTAATAAGTAATGATATTTTCTTGCTATCTGAAAAATTTACACTTGGTGAAGTATTAACATTTTTGCGTTTTTCATGCAAATTTTTGTATATGGATGGATTACTGTGCAAAAAAAGGCATTTCCATAGAGAGGCACTTTGCATCAGCAGCACCATGCTCCAGTGCTCTGGGAGAGTTTATAGTCCTGAGAGTTGAACACTGGATGACTGACAGCTGTCCTTCATCACAACAGAAGCCACAGAAATCCTCCTCATCAAAAACATGACTTTGATCTGCGTCCTCATCTGGACTCTCCTCTGCTGCTGCTTCACAGGTAAAGTCCAGAGAATCAAACTCCTCTCCTCTATCAACATCTGTCCCTCTGAAATGAAGCCCACAAAACCATGAAGCTGCTTTATGTTTTTGTCTCTGTGTCCTCAGAGTCCAGAGGACAGATCACAGTGACTCAGCCTGGAGCAGTGAGCTCTGCTGTGGGAGCAACTGTGAGCATCAAGTGTACGACCAGTCAGAATGTTTATGACTCTAAGCGTTTAGCCTGGTACCAACAGGTAGATGGAAACTCCCCCAAACGTCTCATTCACTCTGCTACCACTCGAGATTCAGGGATTCCAGATCGTTTTACAGGCAGTGGATCAAACTCTGACTTCACTCTGACCATCAGTGGAGTCCAGGCTGAAGATGCAGCAGTTTATTACTGTCAGAGTGAACACTATCCTAACAGTCAGTGGGTGTTCACACAGTGAAAAACAGTCGTACAAAAACCTCCCTCAGTCAGACTGAACAGAAACTGAAGTGACTGCTGCAGCTGGAAGATACTGCAGAGACTGATACAGTTCACTGAGGACACACACACACACACACACACACACACACACACACACACACACACACACACACACACACACACACACACACACACTCATAGAGTGAAACTGTAATTGATGGTACTCCAGTCAAATGAGCTGATATAAAAAAAAAAACACAAAGGAAATTTCACAATGCATCATAATGAAAAATAACATTTTGTTTGACTGAAAAGAAAACATGACATTACTCAAAAAAATTTCATTTTAATTAAGTCTTCAAAGTCAGCGAGTCACTGTAATACATCTCTTTGACAGTAACAAATTCAGCTTCCAATGAAAACATGAAGTTAGAATTAGTAAAATAATTAAATTTCCCCTTCTGTCTTTTTTCACTGTTAAATTCTAGCTTCAATGATTACTTTGTCTTAAACTGGAATATTGGATCATCCTATAATTTGAAACTGAATTGTCCTTGTGTTTAAATAGTCTTGACAAGCACTGGACATCTTCAAAACCTAGTGCTGATTACGGCCGACCTGGACTAGAGACTAAAACATAACTGAACATCCCATCACATCCACAGTGAACATGATAATATAGCCACATTACAACTACTTGACTATGTTACACCTGACAAACTATCACTGTTAATATTCAGGGAGAAAACTACCACAGTACAAAGCAAAACTTGAGAAATCCTTCACCTTCACCAGTACACCCGTGTGGTTAAATCATAAACTTAATTCAACAATGGAGTTTTCCATCTGAACTAAGTTTCCTCTCAGGATGTTAGGCTGACCGTAAACATGTTCTCTTGTCTTTTACTTTTGAATCTGTGTTTTGTTGAATGTTCTTGATTAAGGTAAGTCACACTTTCCTGATGTTGCCAACTTCCGTCACAAGGTGGCAGTATGGCAACGAACAGCAGTTACTACTTCCAGATTTCACCAAGTCCATCTTTGTCTATGGTTTTATCTCATGTTTGTTTAACTTTGGGATCATGTTTGGTCTGTACTGAGCTGGAGATGCATGCTTTAAGTTCTTGCTGTTGATGTTAGTGATCGGTGCCTACCGCTCAGGCTAGAGACCATCACGTCCTTACATGTGAAACAAGAAGCAGAATCTGCAGTCTCCAGTGTATGGAAGCCCGTTTCCGCCACTAAATAAAAACAAAAAAGCTAGTATCCATAACTCGAAATTTCGAGAAAAGTAACTCGAAATTTCAAGAAATATAACTCAAAATTTCAAGTTACTTTTCTCAAAATTTCGAGTTACTTTTCTCAAAATTTCGAGTTAGCTCTGCCAATCAAAAATATACGTGAATGAGGTCCCTTTCTTGTTACCCGGAAGCATATGGCGCAGAGGAACGCGCACTCAAAAACGGATCGCAACAAATTGGCGCTTTCACGAGTACGTTTGCTGATAGTAACACCATGTGATTCAGCTAATAACACAGGGATTTCATCATTTGTGAAGCCAGGCTGAAAACACTCAGCAATCTGTGCATTCACGACTGGATGTAATACCTAGCTTAGCTGTAGCATTTGTAGCTGAGGGCTTCAGCTTCCGGGTAACGAGGAAATGACATCATTCACATAGATTACTGATTGGCAGCGCTAACTCGAAATTTAGAGTTACTTTTCTCAAAATTTTGAGTTAATAAATCGAAATTTCGAGTTAATATGTCGAAATTTCGAGAAAGTAACTCAGAATTTTGAGAAAATAACTCGAAATTTTGAGTTATGGATCCTTTTTTTTTTTTTTAGTGGCGGAAACGGGCTTCCATACTAGTGTGTCCAACGTCAGTGTTGGGTTTATCTAGGCACAAACCCCGCTGGAACACGAGACCAACTAACTGCACGACAAAACAAGTCAAGACAGAGCTCTTTGTCTTTGTGGCTCGTGAGAGAAGTCAGTCAAAGCTGAGGAAAAGATTCCTTCACCTGAACTCAACCAACTTCGCCTGATTCCTTCGCTACAGCCCTTTTTATTGTCAGCAAGCAATCATTCATGAATATGCAATTACAAATACACGTGACATTCTTAAGCAACATCTCTGAACAACATCAGTGTCTGTGTGTGGGTGAATGTGTGTGTGTGTGTGTTTCCAGCCAAACTATACACAGTCATACGACCTTTGAATGAACTTAAACTGTATGCAGAAAAGCGGAAGTAAACGTCTTACTAAAATATAAAAACATGAACCTGCAATAGGTCATGTCTCAAATACATATTTAAAGGTGTGACCTCTCGAACCTTTAAGAAAATGGAACCGTCTGGTTTCAAAAGCTATAATA